AAGGCAGTCGCTTAACCAACTGAGCCACCCAGGCGCCCGCTACCTTTGTATTTTAAAGTCACAACTGACCAACACAAACTTAGCCTCCCCGGAGCAAATCCAGGGAGAAAAAGACTGATGTTTTGTATTGATCACAAAGCATTCAACTGAGTCCATAAGGAAAAGATCCTAATTACCAATACAGAAGGATTCTAAACAATTAACATTTGTGTTAAAATCCTTAAAATGAAGAAGTATAAAAACCTCCTTATACTTGGGGCAACTGAGTGGCTCAGTCGTTAAGCATCTGCCTTTGGCTCAGGTCATGATCCCAGGGTCCTGGGATCGAGTCCCACATGGGGCTCTCTGCTCAGGGGGAAGCCTGCTTCTCCCTCTCCCACTCCCCCTGCTTGTGTTCCCTCTCTCGCTGTGTCTCTCTGTCAAATAAATAAATGAAATCTTAAACAAAAAAAAAAACCTCTTCATACATATAAAAAGAAATTAAGGGGCGCCTGGGTGGCTCAGTCAGTTAAGCATCTGCCTTTGGCTCACGATCTCAGGGTCCTAGGGTTGAGCCCTGCATCGGGCTCCCTGCTCAGTGGGGAGTCTGCGTCTCCCTCTGCCTTTCTCCCTCTCTCTCTCTCAAATAAATAAGTAAAATCTTAAAAAAAAATTCTCTCACCCCAAGAAGGTACACTGGTTAGTTAGCATACTTACTTTTTACAATGTAAGAACGCTTTTATAGATTTCCCTATTACTTTTATAAATAACATTTTTTTAATTTTTTTTTTAAAGGTTTTATTTATTTGACATAGAGAGAGAGAACAAGTAGGCAGAGAGGCAGGCAGAGGGAGAGGGAGAAGCAGGCTCCCTGCTGAGCAGGGAGCCCGATGCAGGACTCGATCCCAGGACCCTGGGATCATGACCTGAGCTGAAGGCAGACCCTTAACTGACTGAGCCACCCAGGCGCCCCTATAAATAACATTTTTTGTAAGAAAAAAAACTGAAGATATTTCCACTTTTTTTTTAAAGATACATATAGAGGATCCAAAGAAAGTCTCCAAATGAGACCACCAAATTCCTAAATCTGTAACTTTCAAAATTTGAGGTCAACAATATTTGCTTTAAACTTTCTATTAAAGTAGAAAAAAAAACCCCACAATTTCTATATGATATTGAGTCATAGCAAGGGCACCTGGGTGGCTCAGTCGGTTAAGTGTCTGCCTTCGGCTCAGGTCGTGATCTCGGGGTCCTGGGATCGAGCCCCGCGTTGGGCTCCCTGCTCAGCGGGAAGCCTGCTTCTCCCCTTCCCACTCCCCCTGCTTGTGTTCCCTCTCTCGCTGTCTCTGTCAAATAAACGAATAAAATCTTTAAAAAAAAAAAAAAAGTCATAGTAAATCTGGCTTGATGTGAACATGGCTATTTTCATAAACCTTCCTGGAGAGAGACAAAAATGCTTAAATTAACCCCAAGATGGTAATAAAAAAGTATAACCTGGGGCTGTCAATTCAATTTGTACTAAATACTGATTACTTGCAATTACGTTTTTTTCCTTCCGGGTCAGAAATAGATCTTTAATAAATTTTTCTTCATTAGCTAGGAAGATCCACATACCTAAATGAAGAGTGCTATTATGCCTTAATCCATTAATAGGCTCGCTATAACCCAAATGTTTGTCTTTTTTCAGGGTACAAAGTTTGATTTTTCTGATGCTACCATCACATTTATGTAACATTGTAAATGGGAGTACGCCATGATTTACATACCATAGTTATCATGAATAATAATGTACCAACTAGGGGCGCCTGGGTGGCTCAGTCGTTGGGCGGCTGCCTTCGGCTCAGGTCATGATCCCAGACTCCTGGGATCGAGTCCCGCATCAGGCTCCCTGCTCGGCGGGGGGCCTGCTTCTCCCTCTCCCACTTCCCCTGCTTGTGTTCCTGTTCTCGCTGTGTCTCTGTCAAATAGATACAATCTTTAAAAAAAAAAAAAAAGAGGGGGGGTGCCACCAAGTCTCCATCTGACCCAGTACCACTAGAAGTGAATAAACTCCAGAGGGTCAGCCTGGAAAAAACAAAAAAAAAAAGAATTAAAAAAATAATAATGTACCAACTAGAGAAAAGTTAATTTCCCTGCTACTTAAGAGTAACACCAGGGGCGCCTGGGTGGCTCAGTCGGTTAAGCATGGTCCCAGGGTTCTGGGATGGAGCCCCATGTTAGTCTCCGTGCCCAGCAGGGAGTCTGCTTCTCCCTCTCCCTCTCCACCCGGCTCATGCTCTCTCCCTCACTCACTCTGTCGCAAATAAAAATTTAAGAAAGAAAAAAAAAAAGGTAAACACTATGCTAAGCCCAGCATGTGATTTTACTGCTCCTGTGAATACTCTATTGTTTTCTCAGTAGCAGAAGTGGATGACCAGGGCCGATTTTGGAATCAAAACCCCAGTCTCTAAAAAGGGCATTTCATACTCTAAGAGCCAAATTCCCCTTTCTATTAAAATGTGGTTTGCAATCCTATTTATCCCCTTAAAATTCCTCCCCTTCAACAAGCCGACGTGCAATTTACATGTCCCCATAACCTTTTTAAACCACAGCAATTTGTTCGGCACCTCTAAGTTTATAGTGCTTCTACAAAAATACCTGATTTAATCCTGAAAATTCAGCTAAGTCCAAAGCTAATGTAAAATACTAGGAAATACACAATATAAACTTGAACCAAAATACCATGTAACATTTAATAATTGCAAATATATTTATTACAATTTACAGATTAGTTAAAGTTATATACACAAATATAATTTTAGCTATAAAATCCCAACAAACTGGTTAGTCACTGGATCTGTAGAAGCCAATTTAGTCTTCTAGTCCCCTAAATTCACCTCCCTTAAATTATACAAAAATAAAATCTGATAGTTTTGATTTCAAGTTAAAGATGAAGAGGTGCTGTTATCACATTGCAACACTCAGAAAAGGAAATTTTACCTGTCTGTATGCCTTCACATGCTACACTGATACTTAAAGCACCATTATAAGACTTTAAATGTGTACAATGTTCAGTTACAACTTCCAAGTTTAACTTTGTTCTAACAACTAGGACTGGGATGAAATGACAAGAATTTTTTCTCCTTCAGTCCAACTTAAAAACAGCCCCTTCTGTCCTTTTTGTCACTGTCTCATGACTTCTTTTAAAGGAGGGTAGGAAATGGGAGAATTCTTCACCAAGCTTTTACTGTACTCATTTGGTAGCGAGGTTGGAATCCCAAGGGAACAAGTTTCCAAAATCCAATCAATGTCAAGCTATCCCATTATTTTCAACTATGCAGAGGTGCTAGATTTCAGACTAAGCCGTGAAATAAAACAGTATACTTCAGTCTGGTTTTAAAAAAATGCCTATACATTTTCAGAAAGCTTTTTTTCAAGGCAGATGATCCCTTCTTCCCAACTGACACAGCTGGTGCTTAAAACCAGCCTGTTTTCACAGTGTTACAGCAGGACTCCGCAAATGCATCCCCTATGATTACCTAAAGTGGAGATGCACAACACACATTGAATAAGGGCTCTGCAAAAATCGGACCAGCATTCAAGTTGTACTCTTGGCATGTTTATGTACAAATATATATTATCACTGGAGGCAGTTCTTAGAGCAAAACAGATAGAAATAAAATAATGACCAGGTAGACTGTAAACTGAGGTAGTAACTCTGCAAGCACTTCTGACAAAAAATTTGTTCCCACACTGAAACAAGTTCAAACTTAAGAGGCCACCTGCTCTACTCATGTTTTCCATTACCTGCAACAAGAGGCACATGGGGCAAAAACAGACCAGTAAGAAGCTGACAAACATTACCTCAACCTAACAGAGGCACACCATGTCGAGCTAAACAAACAAAGGACAACCAGTCACTGCAAAAACTTCAATTCAAAAGTAAACTCTGGGCTAAAAATAGTTAAGACTTTGTATTGTTAAGTCTATAGTACCCTCCTTTCCTGAAAGTTATAGGCCTTGTCATTACTTCTCTAACAGAACACAATAAACTTGGAGATTAAGTCTCTATTTTACATTGCAAACTGGAAAATTCAGAAGTGCCCATTTCCAAGTTTATAGTGTCACCCTGACAGGTTTTAAAAGTGACAGTGCTGAAGCATGAGATTAGTAACACTGGTTTTCTGTTGACAGCATATAAAACAAAAACAAATTGCTCTGAGAAGTCTCCTAGATCCTTCCTAGGAAAATTCTTGGCTTTTCAATTTAAAAAGTAAATGTCTATGATGCAACTATTACTTTCTGGAGTCTTTTACAACAACTTCTACCTGTTGAAACACACAAAGAACCATTTAACTGGAATGACAATCACACACACAGAACCCTCTCCAAGAAACAATTTGCACAGAAGTTAAACATGTGAGATGTTAAAATTTGGCAGAAAGATGCAGCTTTCCCAAAGCAGCAGAGAGTACTGCACATATAAATTTTGTGGCGGTCCTTGGAAAGGTAAAATTTAACCTATAAAAGCCCACCACACATGTCCATCCAAAGTCATTTTTAGAAGGGAAAAACAAAGTTGACACAAGGTAATTTAAGTCGGTAGCATATACAAGATTATTTTCTTAACCTTAAAGCTAGAAGGACCACATCACTGAAATAAAAAATAGAGAAAACATAAAAGCCCATTAACTTGTTGGCTGGGGAGAGCCCCAAGTTTTCAGACAAGTACAGATAATTTAAATTAGAATGGAAAATGGGCTTTGAACCCTATAAATATTGTTTCCCAAGGAAATCAGTTTTGAAAATGCAAAATTCCACCTTAAAAGGTCCCCTTTACACCTCAGCAAGCACATGACATTCAAAAATACACCCAACTGAATCAAAAAAGGGAGTATTAGAAATCACACCATCTCATCCTTCATTACCAGGGCTTGCCTTCAAACCTGGCCATCTCTGAGTGGGATCAGTTACAAAAAAAATATTAAACTAGGTCTCTGGATCCAAGCTGCATATCCTCTTTAAAAAAAAAAAAAAAGGACAGCTGCCAATTTTTGTTTTTAAAAGAAACCTCTCAAGTAAGAGGTAGTGTATGCTCGAGTTAGAGGCCGTCAAATCATCTTAACATTGCTTAAAAGCATTAAGTCCCTTTGAAGCATGTTTCCTGGAATCTATTAAACATTCTTTCTCTGTGCTCAAACGTCAAGCAATATCCAATAGCATCTTCTGTTTCTTGAATTCGTTTCTGGAACCTGCACCCATCCCGTGCAAATTCTTCCCATGGTCCTTTACGGTCCTCATCACCACTTATATAATACTCAGTAACTTCTTCAAGGAAGGTTACCTATAAAGACAAAGACTAATTTTAATCATGCTCTATGATCTTAAAATCACCATTTAAGTAATTAACGCTTTATGCTACTAATTCCTTGAGAATATCAAATATCCAAATATCTTACAGGAATATTTGGTTTCAACTGTAACAGAAAAAAAAAGTAAGTTCTGACTGACTAGATGGCATCTCAGTAAAAAGTGAGCGAACTCCATCTTGATTTCCTTCACACATACAAATACAAACACACACACACACACACACACACACACACACACACACACATTCCTGCCCCCATCTGTCATCCTGTCATCCCTCCTCCCTCCTCTTGGCTTTTGGTGTTAATAAAATGAATCCAGATGGGGAACTGAGAATTTCCTGATGTTATCAGTCCTTTTGTTTTTTTTTTAATCCTTAGGGAAATACAGTTCTGTGACACTCTTCCTCCAAAATGACAAATGTTTCCCAAAAACTTTTCCAGAAATATTTGAAATAGTTATTAGTCAGTATTAGTCAATGCTTTTATTACAGCACAAAAGCTTTAACAAGATCTTCACCAATTTCTAGTCTTCCTTTTTCCTTTTAAACACAATTTCACTTTTCAGTGCTTTCCAATTTTTGCATCATAAACACATAGTGTTACTTTTATTATTGCTTTTGTAATGAGACTATAGAAAGGTAAACAAAATGCAGCCAAGTTAACCTATCTTTAAGGTTATGTTACTAGGGGCGCCTGGGTGGCTCAGTCGTTAAGTGTCTGCCTTCAGCTCAGGTCATGATCCCCGGGTCCTGGTATCGAGCCCCACATCCAGCTCCCTGCTCCGCGGGAAGCCTGCTTCTCCCTCTCCCACTCCCCCTGCTTGTGTTCCCTCTCTCGCTGTGTCTCTCTGTCAAATAAATAAATAAAATCTTTAAAAAAATAAAAAATACTATATACATGATTTCATGTAAAGAGTTAAAGTCCCTTTTAATCCCTACTTAATTTCCAGCATAGACGTTTCTTTCAAACACAGCAAACTACGAAAGTAAATACTTGCTTTAGAAATATGTTCAATAGTTACATCAGCTAATCCCACCGTGGCCTACTCCTTTCATTCCCTTTACATCAGGCCACGGAATGCCCTCGAGGACAATTAGCAGGTATGTAACATCTTACTAGATATTGCATTCTAGAGTTACTCATTGTATCACTAAAATAAATAACGGCAGCAGCATTTATATGTTTACCACATGCCAGGCTCATTTCAGAGGACTTTATAATTTTTATCTCATTTAATCCTCAGAGCAACCCTATAGGGTCTGTACTACTATCACCTCCATTGTATAGATAAGGAAAGCGAGGTTAACGGACTTGTTTCCAATCATACAGCCTCCCTCTGGTGTAGTAATCAGGATTCAAACCTGGAATATGTCTCCACAATCTGCACTGTGTTATGTCAATCATACAGGCATTTTAAGTCTCATTCTAAAAATCAAGCACTACCCATTTTTCCCATAAAGCTAAAGAATGGCAAGTGGTCAAAGGCTGCCAAAATAATTTTACCGTATTTTAGACATAATCTTTTATAAATGTTCCTTTTTGTTCAGTCAGTAGTCTCACATATACTTGACTCATCTCATCTTTGCTCAATGAGCAAGCCAAAATGAGACATGAGACTGGCCTGAGGTCCCTGAACAATAATAGCTACCAATTAAAGGCAAGGTGATGAATGAGGAGTTTTACACACTCATCTCATTTAAATCATGTAATAATTCACACAATATTTGTAATTATTATTCCCATCAGATAAATGAGTGAACCAAGGCCATGAGAAGTCAAGTTACTTTGCAGGTCTGGCTGTCTTCCCAAATTTCTTGGCCCTAACCACTCAGCAGGAGGGAACACAGGCCTCCAGATACCAAATGCTCATTCTGTTGCTCCACTTTCCAATCAGGCCTCGGTTTTTTAACCTATTCACTAATAGGTTTTACCTACAGGTTTACTAATAGGTTTTAACCTATTCACTAATAACTAAATAGGTCATTTTGTCAGGGTCCCCTAAGAGTAAACAGAAAATATCTTTTATGACAGCATTTACATTAAGTGTGAACTAAATTTTTAACCATGACCTATTCTACAGGTGAGACGTTAAGGTTATCACCATGTAGAGGTATTTTCTACCCAGGATGTATCTCAAAGGAATTAAGCTGGCCATCTGGAGCCAATAGATTATGGCACTGTCCACCTGAAACTTTCTAATGCTGCAGAATCTGAGGTCAAAAATAACTTATCCTCCTTTGTCTTTCAAATAAGTGTACAGGAAACTAAAGAAACTTGCCCTCTACAATAAAAGATACCCTGTGTGTTTGGGGGAATTCCTCTCCAGTTAATAACTTTCGCTGAATAAATAGAAGGAAAAAATAAAGCAATTCCAAAGAAGCTCCCCAAGTAAGATTAACCTGACAATGTGTTGAAAGAGTAAAACATTTTAAGACGAGCTTAGGAATAGGAAGCAGCTACTCAAGATAAACGAAATAGGTAACCAAACATCATTGTTACAAATGATTATTAACCTGAGGGTGGCCACTGATAACTAGTATTGCATTCTTCAGAAACGGCAGTACTATTTCCTGTATTGTTTTATTACTGTCAATCAAAATCATGTTCACATCAAAAAGTTTTTTACACTGAAATTAGTATCTTCTTTCACGGCAAACTTGCTACTTGATACTATTATCCCTCTGGGCTCTAACAGGAATGAAGACACTTGTTATCCTGTAAATAAAATATTAGGTGTCCACAAATAACAAACTACAATTAATACCATTTAAATACTCTATAACGGGACCTGACCAATCTCCAGAAGAATTGTGTATACACAAGGTGTAATTTTTCTTTTCCATAAAAAAGAAAGAAAAGTTGAAGATTATATGGAAACAGCCCAGAGATACAAACCCAAATGAAAAGGACACTTTCCTGCTAACATCTATACCCCAGCATTTTCGATTTGGATAGGAACAACATTCCACAGAAGGGAAGAAGGCAGGTGGTGGTTATATGGGGGGCCGGGGGGGGCGTCATTTCTTAATCCAAGTACAGAAGCTTAGAGCCCTTCCTCAAAAACATGCTCTACTACTATGCCTCCAGAAGAGTCATGCTACTGTATTTAACCGTATCAAAACAGTACAAATTATCAGTCACGTTAAAAAAAACAAACAAACCTTTTTTCTCTTGATATGCGTACGTCTTTCTCCAGAAAGAACCCCACCGGGTACCAAGTCTGGATCTTCACTTTCTCGGCTCCCTAACAGCTGCACATCACAAGATAGTAAGGTTTGACAATCAGAAATGGCCACAGTGGGCTCAGACAGCCCCTCTGAGTCGCAACAGCCTTTCCAATTTTTCCCTGATGTTTGAAAAGGAGCCTTAAAATTTAAAAGGTTGTAGGGGTCATCGGAATTACAGAAAGAGTTCCACAGTTTGAGACTCTCTGCTTCATCTGCACTAGATTCCCAGTCATCTTCCTCCCCAGAATTATGGTCAGGAGACTCGGGAAGGCTTCCAATCTGGGGAGAATTTTCTAGGGCAGACTTGTAAGAGGAATCCTTCTCTGAGTCAGAAGGGTCTCCAGGAACAATTCTGGCAGCAGTCTGAATTGTTGCCGTGAAGTTTCGGGGATTATAAGGATCTACACTACAGAAAGAGTTCCAAAGGTGAAGCCCTTCAGAGTCTTGTTCAAGGTCTGATTCGGAGAGTGAGCTATCACTATCAAAACCATCATCCTCAGCTTCCTCATCCCAATCCTCACCTTCGGAATCAGAACTTGTTTCTAGGTCACTGGATGCACCTCCCAAAATGTAATCTATCAGTCTGTTACTACAAGCTGGCCTGGTGGAAATGAGAATGTCATCTTCTAGGTCTGAGGAGTCCCCGACACTTATTTGGTCCTCTCCAGGCTCTTTTTTCAAAGGCACCTCACCAGACGGACAACCTTCCGAGAGGTCCTGTTTTTCCAAAGCAAGTGGAACCTCTTTCGTCAACGATGCGATCTTTCCTTCGGTGGGTTCCTGGGCGGTTCCGGAAACGGCTCCAACAAAGGGAACACACTGTGTGGGACTATCTCCGCCGGGTTTCAGATCCATCCGGAGCAAGCTGTGTTCCTCCTCCAGGCTGTGGTAGCCATTATCTTGGTCTGGGGTGGGTAATGCTTCCCCCTTTCTGGCCTGCTGAAGGAACTCCAGCCGTTTCGTGCGAAGATGGTGGATTTCTGGCAGGCCCTCTCTAGGAGGCGGACATCCCTGCCGCGTGGAGCAAACGACGTCTGCCTTCAGCGGGCGGGGAGGATCAAGGTCTTCAGTCAGACAGGTGCCCTCTGGGCTGAGGGTCTGGAAATCAACAGGTTCGCCACTTCCCACGCTGTTCTGATAGCCAAGCCCCACCCGGGGCACGCAGTCCCGATAGGTGGGGTTCAACAAATAGGAGACGACGCTGAAACTGCTGAAACTGCTTAAACGCCGAACGTGTAGAGGGCCGGCGGGCGAAGAGCCAAGTTCCCGGTTAGAGCACAGATGGCCTTGAAGGCCACTCGGTAACAGCTCCATTCCGCACAGCTGCTGCTCTAACAGAAAAGCGTGTGCGGCAGGGTCCAGAACTCTAGCCTGGGCTTTGAGTTCCAATTCTAGATCATCTGAGGACGAGCACTGCCAGTGGATCCCCTCCTCCAGCCAATCGAGGGAACTGGCAGCAGAGTCGTCCGAGGGGTCGAGCCGCAGCGAACTCAAAGATTTCTGCGCCGGGGGGACGGCTGGGTCCTCCCGAGCCTTCAAGGCTCTGAGAGCGCTGTAGCCTCCAGCAAAATCTAGCCATCTGGTCGGGATCATCCCGCCGAAAAGCTGGCTCCAAATCAGCAGCTTCTGAAGCAGGCTGGGGAGCGGCGCGAAGAGCTGGGAAAGCAGCTTCATCCAGGAGCCGGTCCGAGCCTGGGGCTGGAGGGGAGCAGCCAGTCTAGGGTCCCCGGAGTGTTCCGGGGCAGGAGGTGTGGGCAACTTGGAAGGGCCGGGTTGCGGGCGCCGGGGAAAGAAGGGCAGCCAGAACCAGGAGCCTGGCCGTGGCCGCGATCCGTCTGCTGCCGGCTCCATGTCCTTGTTCTAGGCAGTCTCTCGGGGCTGCAGGTCGGGCGGGATTCGAAGAGGCCTAAGCAGTCTTGGCCTTGCTGCGCGGCGGAGTCGGGGCCCCAGGCCGATCGCCCGGCCAGGAGAAGAGCCACAGGGGGAAGCGGCTTCGGCCGCGGGCGGCAGACCACAGTCCGGAACGACAGGCGCAGGACGCAGCGGCCGAGACGACATTCATCCTGGCGGGAAGGAGATGTCCTAGTCCGCTCGAGGCCTCTCCACCATTAACAGAGCCCTCCCGCGGCGACTGCGACGACTTCCCGGAGAGACGGGCCGTTAAAAAAGCCCCTCGGCAGCGCGACCCCGGAAGGGCTAGGCAGGCAGGCGCGGGTAGAAGCGAAGCCCAAAATGGCCGCTGGGCCAGCACAGAGCAGAACACCCACAACCAAGAGGACGAGACGAAGGATGGCGGCTGGCTACGCCACCAGCCCCGCGTCGCCCAACGTCACTCGCAGAGCCCCGGCGGGCGGGCCTTTCCGGACTCCTCCGAGCGGCCGCTCATTGGTCTCGCGCGATTCCCTGTCGGCTTCCTTACTCTCGGCGGACCCAGCCCTCGCGCCGGAGGTTGCATCAGCCGGGCCGAGGCTCTACGCGTGCGCACTTGTTCCCTGGTGGTCTCCTAGGAGACCGCCCCGCCTCGGCGTCCCCCGCCCCGCTCCGCCCTCTGGGCGAAAGGGGAAGTTACCAGATAACACGAGAATTCCCGGAAGCCCTTTTAAGGGCCTAATACACACCCAAGTGTAGACACTTATCTTTGACTTGCAGATATCGGGGTTCCTGTATTGTTGAGTGCTAAGTAGATCATCCGCAGGAGATCTTAGTATAATAGGAATTGGCAATACTGTGTAAATACATGTCTGGTGTTAAGACACTAATAATTTGGAGTGAATAATAAGAGACAAAACCTTAAGTGAAAAATGAGTCATTTGTATGCATTCCTGCCCCTTCGGTTTTCGAGTTTCTAAATCACTAGCTTTGCCTAGGACCTAGCTTTCAGTATCTGACCCACATACATACACGAAAATGTGAACTCCTGTTTCTCAGGTGGTGTCCCTATTAGACTGTCCCCTTTCAGTGGGGCAAACCGAAGTCTCAGAGGAGGAAAGAAACGTAGCCCTCAGAACTGTTGACTCCTGTGCTTCTGAGTAGGCAACACATTCAAATCCTATTTGTATCCTGAGCCCCCAGAACCGCAGGATACAGCCGACAAAGAGGGACGCACAGACCCTTTTTCCTTTGAAAAAATTTTGTCTGATAATTTTAATTGCTATATTTGATTCTATGTTGTGAGTTGGTCTTAACTCATTTATTTCTACTAAAAGTTTTTCATTGACACCTCTGAAGTCAAATATCTATTGCAGAGGGAATGTGGCAGTCTGTTGCACTTAGGGACGGCAGAAAGATCTTTCTGGAGCCAGGAGGAAGGCAACTGCTCTTCCTGCTTCATTGGGACTGTTCAAAGAACAGCTACTTCCCTCTAGGAATCTGAGATGTCCTCAATCTCTATGGTTTACCCCTTGTTATCTTATTCATATCTCTGGAAATATCTCATTTTCAATCCTAAGAACTTCAGAAAAACATATTAATAGGAGTCAGCTTAATAAAAGAGATCCAACCATGCAAATTAAGTACTTGAAGCCTCAGTTTCTTGGTTGTCAAGTGAGGCTAATAATTCCTCTTTCAACATGTTGGTGAGAGAACTAATTCTAATACCTAGATATAGTAGGGCATAAACATCAGCTAATGTCTGTTATTTATCGGCTAACAATTGTTTCCTGTTGCCCACACAATAAAGGCTCCATACAGCCTGTCCACCTACTATACTTTATCAGCCTTCTCTTCCTAACTTCCCTTACTGAGTGTTAATACTCTAGAACATTGACATGTTTCCTGTCTTTACTCATGTGGTTTCTCAGCCAAGAAAGCCCTCTTCCTCCCTGTTATGCAAGTACTCATGCTTCAAGGTGCATCTCAAATGTCAACTCCTTGAAGTCTTTGCCCACCTTCCCAGTCAGAATTCTATTACTATATACTATGTGAGCACTTAACACGCTACACTATATACCTGTAAATGTTCTTACCTGCTGGTCTCAGCTCCTTTTTTTTTTTTTTTTAAGATTTTATTTATTTTTTGACAGAGATAGCAAGAGAGGGAACACAAGCAGGGGGAGTGGGAGAGGGAGAAGCAGGCTTCCCGAGGAGCAGGGAGCCCAATGGAAGGCTCGATCCCAGGACCCTGAGATCATGACCTGAGCCGAAGGCAGACGCCTAACAACTGAGCCACCCAGGTGCCCCCTGGTCTCAGCTCCTTAAGGGCTGTATACCAACACCTAGCCCAGTGGGTCCCAAAATATGATCTGGGCACCCCTGGGGATCCCATTTTAAGACCCTTTCAGGGGGCCCTCAAAGCCAAAAAAGTGTTCATAATAATACAAAGCTGTTATTTTCCTTCTTAACTCTCACTTTCTCCTGAGTGTACAGTGGACGTGTATCTTCTAGAGGACACGTGATAAGTGATCTGGCAACAGGTGGAATGTAAAAACAGGAGATTGGAGTTGTCCTCTATTAAAAGCCAGATATTAAAGACATTTGGGGGAAAAAAAGGTCACTTTTTTTTAAAGATTTTATTTATTTATGAGAGAGAGCACGAGAGGGAAGAGGGTCAGAGGGAGAAGCAGACTCCCTGCTGAGCAGGGAGCCCGATGTGGGGCTCGATGTGGGGCTCGATCCTGGGACTCCAGGATCATGACCTGAGCCGAAGGCAGTCGCTTAACCAACTGAGCCCCCCAGGCGTCCCTTAAATAGTAACTCTTGATAGATATAATACTCATAAACAAAAGTTCCTTGGGGTCTTCAGTAATTTTTAAGAGTGTAAAAGGGATCCTGAGACCAAATAGTTTAGGAACCCCTGACCTAACATGTTGACTGGCACATAATAGGTGACCTATAATGTTTGTTGAATGAATGGAAGAGTATTCACAATTTAAAATAACAGCATCTTCCTTATGGCTAAGCCTTTTGCTTTCTACTCTCAACTTTGTCATTAACACCACATTCCCCCGAAAAGCATTTCTTAAAGCTTTCTTGAATGAGCCTCCCCTTCCCCATCTAGTCGTTGAATACATAATTTTATTTTCCTCACCTTGGAAGTTGTTCTAAAGGGGGAAAAAAAACCCACAATCATAAAGTATCAAATACCATAGGAATACGTGACTTTGTCCAATCAGTCCCAACAGGAAAATAAAGTGTAAACTAGCCTCCTCAAGCCTGCTATCAAGTAGAAGGCAGACGGAGGGTAGCTCTGGACACGGAGATAACAAGGTGTTGCCATGGCCACAGGTGTGCTGGTGAAGACAAGAAGTGCTTGGACTGATAAGCTGACTGGCACTTTGGCAAAAGAGAAGATTTAAACCTCAGTTGAGTACATTTATTTTAAAAAGATTTTGCGGGCCAACGCAAAGGGTATATTGCTTTTGACTTCATTTTTCTGAGCCGGTACCACCTCCAAAATCTTATTTCTAAGTATCCCACACTTTGGGTGGCTACCACCTCCCATCTTTGCAACACACTGCCCTGGTTACCAGCCCCCAGAAACCCTCCTTCACTTCCCTGCTCCCCCAGCGTGAATTCCGTGGTCCCCTTGCAAAGACGCTTCAAACCCTTGCTCTTCTCGGGCAAAATTCCAACCCTAGTTAAACCCAACTACCCACTTACTCTGGGTCTACACACTTGCGGCCAGTCATTGTGGAAACACTCAACCGTGCCGACTGACTTGCTTCGTATTTGTGATCCCAAATTTCATCAGTGCCAGCCACTCCTACAGCACTTGATAGTTCCACTGTAGCTTTGTTTCTCCCACACTCAGATGGTTTCACAATGCCTGTTCTTCCAATTTTCAGCATTCCTGTAAACACACATTCTCAGCTTAGGATCACACCTCATACTTAATTGGGAAACCAGATACAACTGGACATAAACAACCTCATCTTTCCACCACTAAATCCACCAATCTACCTGCATTTGGACCCACTACTCCTACCTTCAATCCCATGACAAGAAAAGCAGCCTTCTGGATCCTGTCCTTTCGTGTGTACCAAAGGAATTCTGGCCTCCCTTAGCCCCTTTCCTATAACATGTAATTTCCTCTCTCAAGCTTCTAAACACTCGCATGCAGGTTAGTATCACCCATCTTAAAAATTAAAAAAACCTGGGGTACCTGGATGGCACAATCGGTTAAATGTCCGACTCTTGGTTTCGGCTCAGATCGTGATCTCAGGGTATTGGGATCAAGCCCTGTGTCAGGTTCCGTTCTCAATGTGGAATCTGCTTGGGACTTTCTCTCTCTCTCCCTTTGCCCCTCCCCCCTGCTCTCTCTCTCTCTCTAAAATAAACCTTTTATTTTTTTTTAAAGATTTATTTTTTTGACGGAGAGAGACACAGCGAGAGGGGGAACACAAGCAGGGGGAGTGGGAGAGGGAGAAGCAGGCTCCCCGCGGAGCAGGGAGCCCTACGCGGGGCTCCATCCCAGGACTCTGGGATCATGACCCGAGCTGAAGGCAGACGCTTAACGACTGAGCCACCCAGGCACCCTTAAAATAAATCTTTAACAAAAAATAAAAATTTAAAAAATTTAAAAAACTCTCCCAGATTCGTGCCCCTGCAAGTTTCTGTACCATTACAGCAAAGTTTCTCAAGAGTCATCTATGGTTATGGTCTCCACTTTCTCAGCACCTATTCTCTCTTCAACTGCCTCCAGTGTAACCTTTGTCCCCAGTACTCATTCAGACAGCCCTCATGGGGCACCTGGCTGGCCCCGTGGGTGGGGCATCAGACTCTTGATCTCAGGGTCGTTGAGTTCAAGCCCCACCCTGGGCATGGAGCCTATTTAAGAAAACAACAACAACAAACAACCCTTATCAAGATCGCCAAGAACAGTTTACCAAGTCCAATCCTCTGACTGTGGTGGGTTGAACTGTGTCCTCCTAAAAGATGTCGAAGTCCTAATCCCCCAGGACTTCTGAACATGACCTTATTTGGAAAGAGGGTCTTCGCAAGTTGAGGTCATTAGGGTGGGTCCAATCTGGTATGATTATGTCCTTATACAAAGGACAGACACACATGCATGACACACATGCACATGCAGGGAGGACACCGTGTAACATGAAGGCAGAGATTGGGGTGATGCACCTACAAGTCAAGAAATGTGAACCGTTTCCAGCAAACTACTAGAAGGTAGAAGAGGCATGGAACAGATTCTCCCTCTCAACCCTCAGAAGGCACCAACTCTGCCAACTCCTTGATCGTGGCCTTCCAGCCTCCGGACCTGTGAGCAAATTAAATTGTTACTTACTTCACCCAGTCTACGGTGCTTTGTACGGCAGCCTTAGGATATGGACAGTACTTTTCTTTGGGCTCTCGTGATGGCACTCCCTTGGTTTCCCTACAATTCCAGGGGCTCCTCTTCTTCCTCCTCTGAATGTTGGCCTGTATCAGAGCTCAGTCCACCCATGTGTTTTTTTCTAGCCTAACCTAGGTAATCTCAACCCCATGCGGATGATATCCATATCTAAACTCCAGGCTGACCTCTCCCAGGAGCTTCAGATTCCATTCTCTGGCTTCTCCACGTGGATGTCCACATATCTCAAACTGATCATGATAAAAACAAAACTCTTTAAATATAATTTTATTTACTTTATTTAAATAATTTATTTAACTCTTTAAATAATAATTTTATTTACTACTTACTTAAATTTAATAAAAAATTATTTTATTTACTTTTATTTATTAGGTAGGCTCCATGTCCAGTGTGGGGCTTGAACTCACGACCCCGAGATCAAGTGTCACAAGCTCTACCGACTGAGCCAGCCAGATGGCCAAAACAAAACTCTTGATTCAGCTCCACCAAGCCCATCCTCCCCGTGCTCCCTCAATGGCTGCCCCCAGTCCTCCTCATCCAGTTGCCAAGGCCCTAAACTTAGAGTCACCCTCACTTCCTCTTTCCCTCAACTCCACATCAAATCCATCAGCAAATCCATCGGCTCTACCTTAAAATTCACTAATTCTCTCCAGAATTTAACCACTTCTCACCACCCCCCACAACCTCCCTGCCCTGTCATTTCCCTCCTAGACTTCTGCAAGAGCCTTCTCTGCTGCTTCCATTCTTGCTTCAAACAGCCAGAATGACCTTTTATTATTTTATAAAGGATTTTTTTTTTTTGAGAGCGTGTACGCAGGGGTGGGAGTGAGGAGGGAAGGGGGAGAGGGGGAGGGAGAGAGACAAGCAGACTCCAAACCGAGTGCAGAGTCTGAGGTGGGGCTTGATCCCACAACCCTGAGATCACGACCTGAGCCAAAACCAAGAGTTAGATACTTAACCGCTTAACCACTTAACCCACTGAGCCACCCAGGCACCCCAGGGCACCATTTTTAAAGTGTGGTCTTTCTACCACAATCAGAATGACCTTTTAAAAATGTAAATTGGAGCACTACAGTCCCTTTCTCAAAATCTTCCAAGGGTAGTCCCATCACACTAAGAAGAAAATCTGGTGTTCTGTAAGTTCAAGTCTCTCCTCGTGAAGCCCCGTCTGGCTGCCTGGCCCCGCCCCTTTCCTGCCTCATCCTGAGACACCGCGCTGTAATTCTTTGTTCCCGGGCCTGCCTCCCTAGCTGGACAGGGAGTTCCTTGATGACGGGATCCACATCTTTGTCATTTTCGTGGCCACACTGCCTGGCCGCCCAGCCTGACCCAGAGAAGGCCCTTAGTGTGGTCTGTTGAACAGAACCCTCAGACACGGTCCAGCCACCAAAATTACCTCCCAACTTAAGAATGCTGCCTCATTTTTGACCTTTCAAGTCCAATCTAATCTTTGCTCCCAAATCCCAGCCAGTCAGGTTATTTCATTTTTGGCGCCTCTTTGCACTCACAAAACCCAGCCTCCTGGGCTTCTTTAGTTTCTCTTTTCCCTGAGCACCCCCTCTGCCTCTACTCCCAGCTCCCATCCCCGCCCCTTCAGGGTGGTTCAGATTTCTGCCTCGTTTGGCCAAGAAATTTCCTCAACTAAGACTCTCGCCGGATTCAAGTTCTAACTTTTGAAAGGTCCACTGGGATTTGCCCAGAAGTGCAGTGACATCTCAAAAACCACTCGGAAACCCAGCAAGATAGGTAACACTTCCTACTGTTTACTACTGGAAGTCCCTTGGAAGCCCCACAGAATTTCCCAGGGTGAAACAGGACACCCCACTGCAGAGTTTTGAAAACTTCTGGGTGAGATGCTTGAACAAGGGTCACATGGCCTCCTTTTTCCATTTGGTGAGTTCCGCGTTCTGGGCTACGGCTCTGCTCTCATGACTTCACAGTTGTAAGGCACCTCAGAGGTTCAGTTTCCTCTTTTATAAAATGTGGTTGGTTAAATACCACTAGGCGGTAGACTTCTTAAATGCAGATTATCTTGATTTACCTTTGTAACCCTCAGCCTGGTGCATGGCCCAGGGCCCGGTGCACAACTCCAGGAGCTGTATTCTTTGTGAATGGAAGTGTGTCACAAGGTAGCACTGGTAAACACAGTAAACCTTTGTTGACAGAATGAATGAATGAGCCATATGGGCTTCTCATGGTAGTTGTAATGGAAAAGTGACATCAGTTACGTATAAAACACTGAAAACTAACAAATAATAGACCAACTTAAGGGACTGTATTTATCTGAGGTTGCCCCAGGCTTGGAGTCAATCCTAGATTCAAATTCCAGGCCCAAGGCCGACTGGCTGTGTCCTTAGGCCAATAACTTAATCTCTCTGAGCTTGTTTCCTCATCGGTGAAATGGGGACACTACTGCTCACCGATCGAGTTGTTTTGAGGCTAGATTTGGCAGGGCACCAGTGCAGCTGAAAGGCACCATTTGTAAGACACCAACCTGGGTGAAACTATTTCATCTTGTACACCAGCTGTTTTCATCGAAACATCAACCAATCTTGAAAATGCTAGTTTTTGTTTCTCTCAAGTGTCATTTATTAGAAAATACAATTCCAGAGAAAGTAGCAGACACAAGGATGTCTGGGAAGTGGGTACAGTACACAGACCTCTTTACGTCAGGGGCACAGAAGGTCAAAATAAAATGAGCTACAGGCAAAGAGCCAGTAACACAACTATGGTCCATTCATCTGGAGAAGTTCCATCCCTGTCCCCACCTCCCCCACCCCCTTCCCCACAGTGGCTACTTGATCCTTGACATTTTGAACCTAAAAGAAAAGTTTAGGTATCCTTGCTACCCTGTGGCTTCAGTGAATGGAGCTTCTTTCTCCAGTTATGGAATGAGTCAGCCGAGGGGGGGATTTCTGATCCTTGGAGCTGAGAAGGAAGCTGGGGAGAGGGATGGTTGAGAGTTTCCTCAACTACCTCCATGCCCCCATCATGGGGTACATCCAGCCAAGTCTGCTTTAAAAAAGTTCCTATCATATTCGAAGTCTCTCCCTCTTTTTCCAAGGAATTCAACCCTCTGGAGTAAAGCGCAAGAGTGAATCTGAAGTCCATCTGGTAGGGAATAAAGAGTCTAAGAGCTAAGAGCCCCGGTCTCTCCCTCCCAGCTCAGCTCCAGGGGATCAACCACGCCCTCCACTCCAGCCTCCTCAAAACCAAAGAACATCACTGGAATCCCCCACCCCAGGCCCCTTTCCTCCACTTAGGGCATCCCTTTGGCTCTAGACTAAACAGGTTTATGGCCCCACAGAATGAGGGAAATTCTTAAAAAAAAAAAAAAAAAAAAAGTGACAGAAATGGAGTTTGGGGAAAGCAGCACACAAAAAGGAGAGGTGTGGTGGGTTGACGGGCCCCCCCCCCCCCGGCATCTGCGGCCGAGAGGCCCCTGCCCAGGGCCGGGACACCCTTGGGTGGAAGCAAATCAGAGCTGAAGCAGCACTTTATCCCACCGGAGAAAAAGGAAGGGAGAGAGACCTATGGAGGAGCACCCCCAGCGTATCTGCGGGGACCAGACGGTCCCCAGGGGGGCCGTGAGAATGGAGGAGTAGAAGACAGTATTCAGGGCAAGTCCTAGCAAAGTAGGGGAAGATGAGATGAAAAACTCCCCCTGAGAGAGCCCAGGTCCCTGAATACAGGTCCTCTGAGAGCCCCATTCGGAAGGCCCTTCCTTACACACGTAGGTATCACATCGCTCTCCTTTGGAGGCAAAAATCAGAAAGGCCCCGCACAGGCCTCAGTCCAGCACACCCGCCCTCCCCACCCCTCCCTGACCTGCCTTCAGAGAGGGAGGGCTCTAACCGAGGACCCACTGGGCCCCTCCCCAAGTAAGTCCTATAGATAGAAAAACAAAAACGAAAAACAGACAAGCAAACAAACAAAAACCTAAGGAAAAGTCCAATAAGAACCTTAATCATACAAAAAGTCCAAATAGTCTTCCTCTCTTGCCTTCCGAGGCATATGTGAAGTCCCTTCGCATGAGGCTTCCTGTCCAGTCAGGACAACATTACTATTTCATTTTTTAAAAATAAAAATAAACATAATCCACCCACCCTCCCCGCAAATGCTACTTCATACAGCCCACCCCACTCACCCCAAACCAGGCATTGCTCCCTTGACACAAGGTAAACTTAAAACTTTGCTGCCACCTCACAGCCTCCAAGGGGCTGCTCATCACAACGAACCCAAATTCACTTCGCAGAGGAGGGGACAGCGGAGATCATCTTACTCTCCCTACCTCCTGTCACAGAGGCCCGATCTGCCTGGACAGAGGGGAGGCCCACCAAGGGCCCTGCCCCTTCGCAAGGAAAGGGCCCCTGGAGCAGGGGATGAGTCCTCTCCCTTGGCTCCCCCAGCAGCCTGGGGTCCTGGGCGGGGGAGGGGGGAAAGGGGAGGGCTCTGCTGGGCTCACAAGGTCTCGTGACTTCGAGATCCCAGGGCGAACCAGCCAGTCTTCTCCTGGGCCAGGTCCAGCTCTCGCAGACGGATGTGCACCTCCCCGAGGAGAACGTTCTCCCAGAATCCTTGCTCACTCAGCACACTCAGCTGCAGCTCCCGCTGCTGCAGGTCTCCCTTGGGGATCCCATCATACACCAGCTGCAAGCGCAGAGATTGGGAAGAGAGGGAACGCAGAAGAGGGAGACGCTTAGGGCCATGGGGGTTTGATCTGGCCGAGGCTGAGACCACTGAGCTCCCCAACCAGAGTCCAAGGGGAGAGAGAAGGCACTTGGAACCCGAGAAAAGCTTTAAAGAACTTCGTTCTTTGCTGAGCCGTCAGGCAGGTTAGGGCTTTGTACTGGGCCCACCGCTCATTATCGGCAAAGGACTCCTCCCCCTGCCCCCCCCCCGCCCCGGGACAGGGCCCAGGCCACGCCCCAGCTGTGGAATCCCAACCCTCAGGGTCAGCAAACTTGTTTACGGGAAGGGCTAGATAGGAAATATTTTAGGCTTTTGAGGCCATAGGGTCTGATCTATGTCAGGAGTATGCCATCCTGCCGCTGCCCATGACGGTACTTAAATGGATGGGTGGGGCCACATTCCAACATCACTTGACTTCCACAAACAGGTGTAGTTGGCTAACCCCAGCCCCTCTCCAGGGCATTCCTCACACACCATCTCATTGTACGTGGGGTTGCAGGTTTTCCGGGCCACTTTGGTTTTCTTCTTAGTGGTTTTCTGAGGGTCAGGGAGGAGGTAAATCTTGACGTAGGGATCCGGGTCATTCCCATCCTGGAGCAGTTGCTACAAATGGAATGGAAATTTTTTTTTAAATTAAAAAAAAAAAAGATTCCTAGGTCTGTGTCTTTTATCACCATTCCTGTGATCACCACCCCCCACCCAGCCAGAGACTCTTATCCCCCACACCTGGCTTCTTTCGGGGCACAGGAATGTACATCCCAGCTCACTCCATTCTGACAGAAACCTGTCCCATGACAATATGAGGTGTCCTACTAAAACATCAACCTGGTAGCCTATTATACCCAGTCTATACTTTTCATACAAATGCTCGGCCATGCCATCCCTTGGTCTGTTCTGACCGAGCCATCACGTCTCTAGGTATCTTCCTTCCTGGCCCAATGTCTTTGTCTAGTTTGTCATTTGATCCAAGTAACCCCCAAGAGGTGGAAGATGAGTCAGACAGATTAAGTTGCTTGCTGAAGGCTAGCCAATTAGGGCTTCATCCAGCCTGATCCTTTTAAAACTTAAATCAGGGGGCGCCTGGGTGGCTCAGTTGTTAAGCGTCTGCCTTTGGCTCGGCTCATGATCCCAGGGTCCTGGGATCGAGCCCCGCGTCGGGCTCCCTGCTCCGCGGGAAGCCTGCTTCTCCCTCTCCCACTCCCCCTGCTTGTGTTCCCTCTCTCGCTGTGTCTCCCTCTGTCAAATAAATAAATAAAATCTTTAAAAAATAAATAAATAATAAAAATAAAACTTAGATTTTGTCATGCCTCTGCTCAAAAACCCTCCCGTGGTACCCATCTCACTCAGGGTAAAAGCCTGACTGACTGTAGGACCCGGGCTCCATTCCGCTGTGCTCTCTCCAACCCCATCATCCACTCTTCACCCCTTTGTTCCGCAGCCTTCAGCTGCAACGACCCCCTGCGCTTCCCAACACACCCCAGGCAGGCTCCTGACTCAGGGCTTGTGGATTTAACTGCTCCCTCTGCCTGGAACAATCCTCACCTCCTTCCAGCTGTGCTCGAATATCTCCTCGTCAAGGAGGGCTTCCCTGACCACTCTTTATATAACTGCCATGACTTCGCTCCATCCCAGCATCCGTCCTCTGCTTTATTGCTTACCAGAGCACTTAGCACTATCTGTTAAGTGCTCTGCATGCACTCTTTCATTTAACCCCCCCGCAACTCTACCAGGCAGAATCCAACATTATCTCCATTTTAATAAGGCTCAGAGTAAGGGCGCCTGGGTGGCTCCACTAGCTAAGCATCTGCCTTCGGCTCAGGTCATGATCCCAGCATCCCGGGACTGAGCCCCGTGTCGGGCTCCCTGCTTCTCCTTCTGTCCCTCTCCCACACCCCCCACTGCTTGTGCTGTCTCTCTCTCTCTCTCTCAAATAAATAAATAAAATCCTTAAAAAAAAAAAAAAAAGGCTCCGAGTAATTAGGCTACTTGCCAAAGTTGGACAAGAACAAGAAAGATAGAGAACCAAATGAAGACTGTGCGTATACTTACCAAGCCCCGAATATGCATCACCATAATGAAGAGTTTATTGTTTTTGTAGGAGATGGACAGCTTCACCTCCCCGCCCACCTTCCCGACAGGCCGGGCCCATGAGCCGTCTACAGGGACAAAGAACGCAAGAAAGGTCATGAGGCCAGTTTTGTCCCCATCTGGTGCCAGGCAGATGTTTCTGGTTTCTTCTCCCCGCCCTCCACCCCCATATTTTCATGTTGGTCTCCTGATACCCCACGGGGGAACTGCCAATTGATTCTGTGAACATGATTTAGGACTGGGTTGAGATGGTCTATCCAATGTGTATGTGTATAATCACCAACTGAATATCCTGTCCCTGGGAAACCTGTGTGAGGAGCTATGGGCCCCACAGCCTGAGTGGGAAACCAGATCCTCTAGCCAGTAAGCAAAGGAACAGAGACAAGTCAAGGGAAGAGAACTGGGAGGGGGTGGGGGCAGGAGAAAACTACCCCGGGAATGGTTCGGAGAGGTTGGCAGGAATGTTACAGAAAAGACATGTACCTGAGGACTTGGGAGCTGCGCTGGTGCCCGCAGCCTTCTCATCTCGGGGCAGGGGGTGAAAGAAGGTGTACACCAAATCACACTGAAATGAAATCAGAGACAGTGTCATTCTTCAGTAAGACAACGGCCCCATAAAAAAAAAAAATGAAAGGGACTATTCCAGATTAAAAGAGTCCTATGAAATGGAACCACCAAATGTAGTATGTACTTCTTGTTTGGATCCTGGCTCAAATCAACCAACTGTAAAAAGAATTCGGGGGATGACAGGGAAACTTTGAATATGGACTGTGTATTGGATGATATAATGATACTGTAGTTATAGAAGAATTTATTTTTCAGAGTTGCATAGTGACTATTTAGGGACATGTCGAATGTCATGATGTCTGTGATTGACTTTAAAATACTTCATACAAAAATAAGCAAATATGGCAAAAACATTAACTGTTTAAGTGATGGACATATAGGCACACATTATACTGTTTCTCTGGCTTTTTCGTATGTTTGAAAGTTCTCATAATAACAAGTTTTTTAAAAGGAAAAAAAAAACCTAGGTCACATCAGGTCAAAAAGCAGTCTGTTCTTCTCTGCCATGCCCTCCCCCATGGACACACACAGACCTTTCAAGCAGAGAAGTATCTGACCCAGCCCTGGACAGAGACCATGAATTCTACTCTTCTTGAGAATGTTTCCTAACTGTGTTAGGGAAAACAAAAACTAAAATGTGAAAATACGTACCCTAACATTAATAGTGGGGGAAAAAAATGGACATAATCTAACTCTCAAGAAACAAATGGTTAAGGAGATTTTGGTATTGCAAGTCAAAGTATTAATCTGGTACAGATATTTAAAGTTGTGCTCTAAGAGTAATACTGAAGCTATGACCAGTATAAAATGGTAAGAGTCACATTTGCATATAGATAAATAGGAAGGAAAGATGGAAATGGGATGAGATGATCTGGGGGGGGGACCTCCTGATGACTATATTTGTTTTTATGCCCATTATAACCCCAAATTGTAATACCAATTGTTTAAAAAAAAAAAAAAAACAACTTGGTAAATAAACACACTCAGCCTGCTCAGAAAACTCCTTTTCCTCAAGAACCCCTTCCTTCCCAAGGTTCTGATCACTCCTAGCACTCTGGGATGGCTTCTGATACGTAAACGTCTCTCTCCCTGCTCCCGGCGGCATGCTTTCATTACATTTAAAGGCACGACCTGAGAGGCGGGAGCCAAGACCTTCCTCCCCCCTTCTTTCTTTCACCCCCCCTTCCCCTTCTTCCTTCCTTCCCCCTCTTACGCCGCCTCCTCCTCCTGTGACTCTCTGCAGAGTCAGATCCAAAGAGCCAAGTCCCGTCCTTGACCGCCAGGGGGCTCGCCCCCTCCCCGCTTCCCCCACATCCCCCCACCCCCACCCCAGCGCCCGGAACAGCGGAGAGCCCACCCACCTCGGCCACCTCGGGGGCTTCGTGGGTCAAGTGCCGAATGTAGCGGTTTAACTCCTCCCTCCGCCGCTCGGCCACCGCCTCCCCCCGCGAGCGTCCAATCACGAAGCGACTAGGGAAGCTGGTGAAGCAGGTGGGCCGTGGGAATGCAGGAGAGGCAAGAACGGGAAAGAAAATGAAGAGGTGGCAGGCTTTTGTCACGTTTCATTTGCGTTTTCAGCGACCTGACTCACATTTCTCACCAGCCGGCCCCATTCCTCCCACGGCTCCCCGGGGCTGCGCCAACGACACACTCAGGCAGCATTTCACGCAGCAGTTCCAGGAACCCCAGACAAGAAAGCCAAGCTGTTGGGCAGTCCTAGGGCTCCCCCAGAAGTGCCTCGGGGCTCTGGAGGAGCCCGCAGTCTTTCCCATCAGGGTAAAAAGTTCACTTGAAAATTCCTTTTTAAAAATGTGTGATGACACACACAGGAGATAAAATTTACCATCACAACCATTACAGTTCAATGGCATTAGATACACCGTATTGTGCGACCATCACCACCATCCGTCTCCAGAACTCTTCATCTTGCACAACTAAAACTCTGTACTCATTAAACACCCTATTCCACCCTCCCTCCCTCCCTCCAAGCCCTGGCGACCACCATTCTGTTTTTGGTCTCCAGGAATTTGACTACTCTAGAGACTCATAAAAGTGGAATATTACACAGTATTTGTCTTTTTGCGATTGGCTTATTTCACGGAGCATAATGTCCTCAAGTTTCATCCATGTTGTGTCAGAATTTCCTTCTTTTTAAGTCTTACTAATATTCCATTATATGTATATGACAAATTTTGTTTATCTATTTATCTTCTACTCTTCAAAAGATAAGAACTTTAAAACATCTTCAGATCCAGTTAGTCCTCTGCCTTTCGCCCCAGTTTTCTCTCCCGGCAGGTGGACCCAAGCTCATTTTCAAGGTTGGACTGAGAGAGTCAGGAGATCCTGGCCAGCAGGGGGCGCACGTGTTACCACACTCATTACCAGGCCAAGAAAACCAAGCAAATCTTGGAAAGGGTAGTTTCAGGATCCTGCAATCCTGCCGGCCCCCTATCCCTTCTCCCACCCCAGGATCCCCCTGTGCGGAGAGGAAAGGGGGCAGCTACCTGGGCAGTTGGGAAGAAGGGAAGAGCAGCCGTAGCTTATTGTGTAATTCCTGGAACTCCTCAAACGTCCGTTGGATATAAGTGGCCTCGTGAGTGTTCTCTCGCATCACCTTTACCACATAAACCTGCAAAGGTCCAAGTCTTACAGAATACCTGCCAAACCCCGTGCACTGAATGAAGGGAGTGGGTAAGGGAACAGAAGAGGGAAGGGGTGTGTGTGTGTTGGGGGGGGGTCCACTTTCCAGAAGGAAAAGTGCAAAAGTGTCTCCAAAGGAGAAGATGATACAGATGTACATTTGTCCTGCACATGTTTCATAGGACCCTTGACCCAGACGGAACAACCATGCAGTTCAGCCCCCTGATTCTAGTAGCCCCCTAGGGCAGGGAAGAGGCTCAGTCTGTGACTGCACTGCACGGAGCTCGGGATGCTCACAACTCCAGTGCCCACTGTGCTGATGTGAAGAGAAAGTCAGAACTGCAATATGCTGGGGGCGGTGGGGAGCAAGACAGGGTCAGATTGGAGAAAACACTTACGTAGCCCTTGTTGGGGTGGAAAGTCTTCTCGTGGCGGCAGAGGAAAACATCACTGATGCGGCCAGAGCTCTTGAGTGTGTGTGTTCGGGGGGCAAAGGAAAGGGTCAGCCGGTCGTCTGAGCCTGTGAACTTCATCTGAGCCAGGTTGTGGATGAAAAAATTGAGCTTTGTGGCTACACTGCCCAGGCTGGACTCAATCAACCTGTTGGTGCAGGAGGATGGGAAGAAAAGGATGTAACCACGGACCCAAGTCCCCACTGCCTGGAGAGAGCGATCTCCACGAATATCCCCGGACACCTGAGCCTAACACTCAGCTCAGATAGAATCATTTTCCCCGTGTAATATCCTAATAGAATGCTTGACTGGCACACAATTATCTACATGCAATTTATTCATGTGAATCCTGGGATCTTATCGCCCCTCACTGCCCTCCTGAACCAAACAGTTAAACCAAGGTAGGAATTAGGGATTCCACCATAGGGTCAGCATGAAAATGTCTACATACAGGAGACCTCCAGTACAGTGGAACCTTACCAAGCACCGTTCAATCTAGAGATTTCAGATCAAAAGGGAGGTTCTATGTGAGACCAACAGAGAAAATTTAGTTCGCCAAGTTCCAAAAAGAGTGCATGATAAAACTGAGGCATCGCCTACACGAACAGAACTGTAGACATGAGTGCAGAGGTACTTCCTTGCTTCCATACCGTGTGCCTAACAACACTGCCAAGTATGGGAAGATGGAACCATGGAAGACCATGTTAAGTGCAAGGGTTCTGATCCAGAGAGCTGAGGACTAAGAAAACTCCATGTTTGTCCCATAAACGAAGTCTTTGACCAAGACCTGGCGAGAACGTACGAGATTGCTATGGCTCCATCCACAAAGGTGAGCACCAAAGTACAGACAGAGAACGGAGTCGGGGAAGTCCAGTGATTTCCCTAAGTCAGAGGCAAAGTTAGGACAACAGACGCCTGTCAGAAGGCGTAGGCTCTGCCATCCGAGCTATGCCTTCCCCGTGTCCCTAGCCCCACTCCTCCCCATCGGGCAGCCTGGAAATGAAGGACTCGGGGTCGGGGGGGAGCACTGCTTTGTGCAAGGGGTGTTACCTGGTGAAGTAGGTAGTAGCATTGGCTTCTGTGTCCTGAGGCCTTAGAGCATCATACACATATTTGAGGTCCTCCAGGTCTGAGAGCTCGGGGATCCCACAGGACAACATCTAGAAGGAAAGCAAAGATGGAGAGAGGGCACCTGTAAAACCAGACATTCTTGCTCCTTCCCCCCATAAGGCCAGATTTTCTACAGCTGGGCTCCCTAAGCCTCCGAGGGGGTGGCAGACGGATGCTGTGGACGGTGGCTAGAAGACCACAGGAAGGGAGGGGCTGGGGCGGGAAGTCAGACACCGCACAGACACCACTGTCCCCAGTAGTCTGGGCCCTGCCTTTATCTAGACCTCAGAGAAGCACATCTCCAGAAATCCCTTGAAGCAAGACAGGGGCGTCTTAAAGATGGTGCCAGATGATAAGAAGGAGGGGTTCAGAAAGGGATGGAGCTCCTCACCAGGCCCAGGAGGTTGAGGAAGAGGTGGGTGTGCTTGCGAATGAGGTTGTAGGCTTGGCAGCAAAGGTCAACAAAATCATGGAAGCGGCTGGAAGGCTTGTCACCCCCGTTGATGACATACGCCATATCCGAGGTGAAGACAAAGGGGGCACGGTCCCTGGGCCGAGGGGAACATACAGGTAGAAAGTCAGCATGGAGGAGGAAGCCCCCCAACCTTGTGGGGTACATCAGGGAATGCCCCTCGTCACCTGTGGGAACCTGGAGAGATGGGGCTCTCCCTAACTGTTCCCTTTTGCTTTTCCTACCTTAATCTCAAAAGATCCCCAGAGACGTCCTTCATAGATTCCTTGTCTGTGTGCTACCAATATTTTTTTCCTGGATAGGTAACTATTCCCTTTTGCTGTGGTTTGGGCTCATTTCCCCTTGCTCAGGCCTCAGCAGGGAGGAAGAAGAGCTGGTCCCCACCTTCTTCTGTGAGGGCCTGCAGCTACTTGACCTCTTTCTCAGGCTTCGATTCTCCAAAGCTGCTCAGCCCAGGGGCTCAAGTGCAGCCCACTTCCATGAGAGGCTTGTGTTCAGCCCGGGGCCACTTCTACGGACCTCCCCGCCCTCCACATGCAGCCTGGCTTCAGGAGACCACTTACCGCTTGATGTTGCCGAACATCTGAGCATGGCCCAGGAAGCGGCCAAAGTCTATGTGGAACATGTGGCCGGTGGTCTTCAGCATGATATTGTCATTGTGCCGGTCACAGATGCCCAGGACGTACGTGGCCACACAGCAGCCGGCACAGGAGTAGATGAAGTTCTCCACAGCCTGGGGGCAGGGGGCAGGGGGAGGCAGGCAGATGGGAGGAGAGGACAGAAAGCTGGCTCCGAGGGACTCCAAGGGCCACGGCCAGCCTCAATCCAGCCAGCCCTGCTCTCATACACACCCCCACGCACACAGACACCTCTCTCCTGTCTCACGGGCTGTAAGGAGGTGGAAGGCTGGTGTGTGTCTCTCCACCACTTTATCTGCCATTCATCATCCTCTGCACCTTTCCTTCTTCTAGGGAAACTGACTGGAAAGAGTGAACTTATCTGGGAGCCCTGACTTGAGCAGCCCTGACTGAAGAGACCTTAATAGACAGGAAGACGGATGTTTACCACGTTCCCAAACAGTTGTGACTGGCTCAATTAAAGCGCAGCCCTGAGGCGGCCGACTTCTGGGTCTCTTCCTGACCCTGCTCAGAATTCTCCGGGCTTCTCCCTGCCCCGTAGACACCTTCCATTCCCAGGGTTCTTGGTAGCAGCTAAATGCCAATCTAATCAAAGTCATTTCACTCCAAAGAAGAGCTGAGGCAGTTCAACACTCCTAGGAGGGTTTTACACTTGAAAATCAGACATCTCTAGCTGGTAAACTGTGTGAGAGATATTTTTAAGTATAAAACAGGAGGGAGGGGTGGCTAAGATCCACCTTATTTCATCTGGTCAACATCTGTCCCCTCCTCTGTCTCTCTGAGAAGTACAAATAATGGAATTAGCAAATGGATACCTTTCACCCTCTGAATCCTCTTTGTGAGGTTTATAGAATTTCTTAAGAATTGAAGAAAGACTCATCAGCAGAGGGCAAAAACTGGCACACAGCCGACAAGGAATGTACGGACACAGACTTGAGAATGAGGGAAAGCTTGCCGGAGAATGTGTGCTCTCCCTGCCTCTCTCTGCAAATTTCCCCCCCTCCTTCAGGGCCGGGAGTCCCAGGCCCTTCCAGCTCCCACAGACTCCTCCCCCACTGAGCCCCGACAGCCCCACTGCCACCCGCATTCATCCAGCACTCACTCTTTTCTCTCCCCAGGGTCTAGGGGTCTTATCTCCCAGCAGCTTCTTGACCATCCACAAGGCCTATTTCAAAACTAGCCACATGGAACCCCCTGCCCAGTCACTTGTCTAATTAAGCCAGGTGGCGAGTCCACAGGAATCTAAGAACAGAAAGTCTATAAAGAAATCACAGAATGCACCTTCTGGAAGGAAAGAACTATTCCCCAGACGGAGAAATAGATGAATGAAGAGAAACCACCCAGTAAGGAGTACAACCCAGTAGGAGAACTTCCCAGTCTTGACCTTCATCTCCATCAACTTGTCTTCTGCCATAGATGTTCTTTCGACCTGAAGTGTATCCTTTCTCTTTTCTTCCTTTCTTCCTTTCTTTTCTTCCTTCCTTCCTTCCTAAGATTTTATTTTGAAGTAAGCTCTACACCCAATGTGGGGCTCGAACTCACAACCCCAAGGATCAAGAGTTGCACACTCTACCGACTGAGCGAGCCAGGTGCCCCTACCTGGAATGCATCCTATCTTGACTCACAAAAGAGCTGTATGGCTGTGGGTAAATGACTCGTCTCATCACCTAAGTTACGTGGAGTGTTGTTAGCTTCAGGAAGTCTTGCCAGACCAAGGGAGCTCTTCTGATTTAAGGGGTTTTCACTTGAAGGATGTGGTCAACTCTCTTTGCTCAGGAAGTGGCCAGAAGACAAACGGCTCTAGTTCCTTCCTACTGAAAGTCAGGGGAAGAAACTACCAGCACTGTTCTAGCAGAAAGCCGAGAAGAGCTGACAGGCTGTGTTTGGAAGACTGATATTAAACACAAAGACACAGAGTGAGTTTCTCTGTGCATTCTTGTCGTGCATCCTTCTATCATATTTATTATAACTTTCTATTACATTGGCCGGAAGATGTTGTAAGTCCAGCACCAAGCACAGTGCCTCTGTGTGGTGGCCATTTAATACCTGAGGAATACATGTTAGTGGAGTCGAGGGTGGAGTGGAGTACAGAGGGTGGGTTTTGAGGGATGGGGAAGGGAACACCTGGTTTTCCAGGCAGAAGGAACACTATCATCTAAAGGTATCGGGGAAATAGAAGGAGCCTCCTAGGCTGGGGCATAAGTTATCATAAGAGGGGAGATGCGGGGGATGGGACTGCAGGGGTAGGCCGGGCTGGATTCCAAAAGGCTTTGTGTGCAACGCCATGGATGTTGGACCTATGTTTTAGGACATAGGGAGCCTTTGAAGAACCTAGAGTAAAGGAGTGACATGAGCAGTTTATACTTTATTTAAAAAACAACCTCTGACTTCAAGCAGAGGATGGCAACAGAAGGAACAGCATTCTAGACAGCACATAGCTGAAAGGAATGGAAAGGAGAGGACTGTTGTGAGAGATGCTGGGGGAGGAGAATCAACAGGGCTTGGTACAGCAGAGGTGAGCCAGAAGGAAGCGTCAAGAAGACTCACGGCTCTGCCCTGGGTGACGAGACAGAGACTCACACTATTTACTAATAGGAAACACACACAAAAGCAGGCTTCAAGAAAACGAGATGGAAAGATTGGGTTTGCCTGTACTGAGTTTGAGGTATGCATGAAGTTCAAGTACAGACACCCAGTAAGCAGATGGCTCAGAGCATACAGCTCGAGGAAGGGAGGAAGGAATGGCTTTGGAAGATGTCAGCAAACGGGTGGTACTTAAAGTAGTAAGAGCTGATGAGCAGGCACGAGAATTCAAAGAGAGTACAGCAGGCCAGGAATGAAATCCTGGGGAATGGAACATTTAAGGCCATCTAGGATCATCTAATTACATGTTCACTAAACAAACATTCTGATTATAATTCGGCTGTCCATACAGGTTTTCCCTCCGGGATAAAATGCACTGATCAATATACCTCAGTATCGGGTCCCCTTGGAAGTTAAATTATATAAATGGGCATTTTGGCTTATAGCCCATCTCTTATGAGTTGGTTATTAGGACTGGCTCCCCTCCCCCAAACTCAATAAACACAGACTAGCACCACGAAACCGTGGACCAGCCATGCACCACAGCAGGCCACCAAGGCCCTACCACCTAAGAATGCTCCTCCTAAGGACCAGGCCAACCTCCTTTTCTATGACCTCTGTCTCCTATCCAGCCTTAATCCTGGCTTCTGCTTATTTATAGCCTTGCCTCAAACCAGCTCCATAACTGGGAACAACTGAGTGGATCTTAATTCACATCATGAAAAGAGGGGTTGGATAAAAATGATCTCTAAAGACAATGGACTCTGAAAAACAAACTGAGGGTTCTAGAGGGGAGGGGGGTGGGGGGATGGGTTAGCCTGGTGATGGGTATTAAAGAGGGCACATTCTGCGTGGAGCACTGGGTGTTACGCACAAACAATGAATCATGGAACACTACATCAAAAACTAATGATGTAATGTATGGTGATTAACATAACAATAAAAAATTATTAAAAAACTAATGATGTAATGTATGGTGGTTAACATAACAAAAAAATAAAAAAAAATTATCTCTAAAGTCTCCTCCAACTAACTCTTGTTCTACAAAGTGCCACTGAAGCCCTCTGAGGGCACAGGACGAACTGAACAGGAGCCACCATTAGGAGAGATGCAGGCAGTTTCTCAAAAGTTGGCCCCCCTCCTGCTCCCAAAGCTCAATCTGCGGGGGTAGGGGGTTGGGAGTGGGGCTCAACGAAGGTTTCCCAGCTGGACACCAGGGGATTTTCTCAGTCCCCTTACCACAGTCATTTGACCCGAACCCTAACTATGGGGAGACACCTGTCAGCCCAGCGTGTTTCTTTCCTCCCGACACAGCTGAGCTGTCTCCTCTGCGCACGCGCAGGCCTTGCGCTCACACAGCCATGTGCCGGAGTCAGCCGCACCCCACCCCCAGCCTCGCCCCCACCCCCAATCCTACCTTGTCATACTCGTCCTCCCCGGGGTTGTGTTTCTGCAGCCAGTCTGCCAGGGGCCGGTCCTTGAAGGAACCAGTCACCCCGTGCTCCACCTGGATCTTGCGCAGCGTCTCGGCATTGGGGATCATTTCCACCATCCCTATGAGAGGAGGCATGGGTGTGGTGCTCCTGGGCAGGGCCAAGGGGGCTACGGGGAGACAACTAGGGAGCTCTGCTGGATGCTTCCCTATAAATGAAGCCCTAGGCTATTTGGACAAAATCTGATAATCAGGGGAAAAGGGTAGTAGGAGAAAGAATACCATTCCCAAGCCTCACATTCCACACTGGGACACTGGGGCTCTTTGGTCTCCCTGGTTCATTACTGCTGTTCCTTGTTTCTGACTTTTACTACTGGACTTTTCAGACATACGTGTGTGTGAACAATGTTTATGAATAATTATTCATATATATGTATGAATATTTTTTTAAAGATTTTATTGACTTATTTGACAGAGAGAGAGAGAAGAGAGGGAGGGAGAAGCAGGCTCCCTGCTGAGCAGGGAGCCCCATGTGGGGCTCAATCCCAGGATGCTGGGATCATGACCTGAGCCGAAGGCAGATGCTCGACCCACTGCGCCACCCAGGTGCCCCTGTATGAATATTTTATATATATACACACACACACACACACACACACACACGAATAAAGAGAATGGGATCGTGAACTCACACATAACTGTCACCCAGTTTCAAAAATTATCATTTTGCTGATCTAGTTTTACCTATTTTACTCAGCCAACCCTGTTTTTTCCCTCCTTACTGGAGTATCTTTTTTTTTTTTTTAAGTAAACTCTGAGCCCAACGTGGGGCTTGAACTCACAACCCTGAGATTAAGAGTCACAAGCTCTACCAACTAAGCAAGCCAGGTACCCCCTTACAAATCCCAGACATGTCATTTCACTCATAAATATTTCAAGTACAACTAACAAGGACACAACCACCAGGCCATTACACCCCAAAAATGAACATTCATTCTTTAACCCAGTCTATACTTACATTTCCCCCTATTGTCTCAAAATATACCTTTTCACAGTTGGCTGGTTTGAATTAGGACCCAAAGTCTACATGACATGTCTGGTGGTTATGTCACCAAGTCTGTTTTACTTTATTCCAGTTCCTCTCTCTCTGCCCTACCTTCCTTTTTTTAATGCCGTTCCACGGCTTCTATTGAAATAACCTTGCCGGTTTCGTTTTTCTGGAAAAGTACAGAACTCATGCTGGGGAAGGGGAGAAGGGCAGTAAGCAAAGGGGTGCCCTCCATGCCAGCTGCCTGCTCACAGCCCCCCCCTTCCCAACTGACCTCTCCCCCGACCAGTGGAGAAGCAGCGGAAAATGACCATGCGCATGTCCAGCCCCTCTTGGACCCAGATCTTGCTCATGATGCGAATCATTTGCAGGGTTAGCATGTCCTGGCGAAGGTCGTCCCCACACTGGATGAAGAAAGTGAACAGAGCTCATCTCCATTGCCTCCCCTGGCCCCCAGATGCTCCAAGAGAGCCACCGTGGCCCAAAGAATAACAGGGGACTGCCCAGTTTTCCCACCTCCCATCTCCGCTCACACCAGGTCAAACGACCAGAGGTGGGCCAGCCATCACATCTGCCCCTGCGGTGTTCTGGTTCTTTCTTCAACCCCACATCCCCATCTGAACTGAATTTAGATTCCTGATCGTCAAGACTCTTTATTTAAAACTTGAGTGTTTATACCTTGAATTTGGAACTGACGCACAGCCAATATATACATTACACGGTGGCATCCATGCATCTCCTCTCCCCCGCTAGATTACATGCTCTCAGACTACGGTTTACTTCTCAGAATCATGCATGTCTTGCATCAGTTAGGATGGACCTTAGGGTTCACCTAGTCCAACCTGCACCTGTTCTCTTAATTTCCTCTTCAACACTGCTGCCATGCGGCCATTCAGCCTCTGATTGAATACCCTGGGGTACAAGCAGATCGCCACTGTATCCATTCACTGTTGGGATAGCTCTGCCTCCTAGAAAGCACTCTATCCCAACAGTGAATGCCTTGCTACACCTGCCAACATTCTGTTCCTAGACTGCTGGGGCCACGGAGAATTAGTCTCTTTCCTTGGTCACCTGATCATCTTTCACATGTGCAAATGGTAGCACAGAGTAACAGCAAGAGACCTGCCCTGGGGCTGCACCTGCCACCCTTTGACCCCCTCCTCCCCTCCCCTCTACCACCTTCATCATCACACCAGGCTTGTGAAGTGTCCTCACCTTGAAGATGACACGGATGTTCTCGCCCAGTGGATCCACATTTTGGAAGGACAGCTTGAGAGGGACAGCATTGGAGTTGAAGTAGGAACAGTCCTGCCACGGGAGAGAGGGTAGTGACAAGGGTCAGGAAGGAAAATGGCCTCTGCACCGTGGGTCAAGCTGCTGCCGCTGGTGCACCTGCTCGTAGTTTCTGCCAGATTCCTCAGGAGCCCACGCTCCTTCCTTCCCCCGTGCCAGTCTGTTACAGCCTTGGCTCCCGGGGCCTGTTCTCATCCCTTCAGTGCCTTTGGCATACAACCTACTAGGATAGGACTCCCATCGATAACCTCAGTCTACTCCTCTGTAAAATGGGGCTTCCAACAGGACCAACTTCGTAAGAGTTATGAGTGTAAGATGCAATGACTGGCATCAAGCACTCAGAACAGTGCGGCACAGAGGTGGCGCTCGGTGGTGACAGATGACAGCTACAGTCATTGTCACCAGCCTGGGTCCTGTGTCATCAGGGGAGACACTTACCCAGCCCCTGACCCAATTCCTCCACCTTGCACAGCTGTCAGGCAAAAGTTCGTACACACTAGGTCTGGAAAGAGGCCCCAAATATGCCTCTCTTCCTCCTCTCAATAACCAGGGTGGGAAGACCTCGCCTCCACTGAGCCCTCCCTGCCCCGAGAGCCCCAAACCCACCAGTCACTCACCCTGGGCACGATGCCCTTAACCAGCAGACTAGGGCTGAGTGGCAGGCGGCAGGAGCCGATCAGGGCAAAGAACTGCCTCACCTCCTCCAGGCCCGTGCGGAGGATCCCCTGAGAGGGAGGGGAGAAGGAGAGTACGGGTGAGGGCGGTGCCCATGGGCTCTACTCAGAACCAGGCCTCTCCCAGGGGCGGGCATCCCTGTAATGGCTGGGATGAAAATCACCGTCGGAGAAGTATGAACAACCCCCAGGAGACCGTGAGGAAGGAAAACTACCCCGGCCTGGGGTATCGCGCCCGGGACAATGCATGGGCAGCAAGCCCAGACAGCTTACAGAGGTGAGGCAGATGACACCACAGTGTGAGGCAGGCCACAATGAACTGAGAGAGCAGGTGCATCTCAAGGGGGCGGTGCTGCTCAGGCCATTGCCAAGAAAAGCCAACAATCTGGACTTTAAAGTCTCCCAATTTTTTTTTAAAGATTTTGTTTATTTATTTGAGGGAGACAGCATGAATGGTGGGGGCGTGTGGGAGAGGGGCAGAGGAAGAAGCAGGCTCCCCACTGGGCAGGGGGTCCCGATGCAGGGCTCAACCCTAGGACCCTGGGACCATGACCCTGAGTCAAAGGCAAACACTTCACCAACTGAGCCACCCAGGTGCCCCTAAATTCTCCCAATTTTTATTTATTTATTTTTATTTATTTATTTATTTATTTTTATTAAAGATTTTATTTATTTATTCATGAGAGACAGAGGGGGAGAGAGAGAGAGAAGCAGAGGGAGAAGCAGGCTCCCAAGGAGCAGGGAGCCCGATGCGGGACTCGATCCCAGGACCCTGGGATCATGACCTGAGCCGAAGGCAGACGCCCAACCATCTGAGCCACCCAGGTGCCCTATTTTTATTTTTTTAAAGATTTATTTATTTATTTGACAGAGAGAGAGCCAGAAAGCACAAGCAGAGGAAATGGCAGAGGGAGAGGGAGAAGCAGGCTCTGCATTGAGCAGGGAGCCCGCCCGACACAGGGCTCAATCATGACCTGAGCCGAAGGCAGACGCCCAACCATCTGAGCCACCCAGGCGCCCCAATTCTCCCAATTTTTAAATGTTAGTAACCGGGAACACTGTTGGCCTAATACAGCCCAGTTGTATAAACAGTAAAGGTCCCCGCTCTGGGTAACAGTAGCCCTGAGCTATGGCTCACAGCATACAACAAAGTAGGACTGGATTTCAGCCCACACTTGCCCTCTCTGGCTGGGTGCCCTTGTGTAGTGAACAACTTATACAAATGTGCTTAGCCTTTAAAGCAAACAGTTAAATCAAAACGGTAATACTTTGCAGGGCAACCAAAACTGTGTCCAGTTTGCAGACTGTCATTTTGTGGCCTGTAGGTTAGAGACAGAGTTCCTTCCAGTCCTTAAATCAGAGATGGTCAAGTGCCATCCTGCCAGTGAGGACGTTGAAGGAATTGACGGTTACAAATAGTTACAAAAGTTACAAAACTTTTTTTGTAACAAATGGTTACAAAAGCCCAGGACCAGAAATAGGTAGAGGCGGTTCTACCCCCCTCACCTGCCGCGCAGATGGGGCGGCCTCTCGGACCTGCTGGGCCAGCTTGGCCAGGGTATTGACGAGCCAGCACTGGCGGTTAAACTCCTCTCTCAGGCCCTTGCCACAGCAGCACAGCAAGGCTGCCAGCAGGTACTGGTAGCGGATGCTGAACTGAGAGTCTTTGAGGCCGTCCTTCAGGAGCCTGCAAGGCAAAGGGGGGGTAGGTCGGGACACTTGGGATCACCAGCAAGGGTGCGTGGAATGGCAGGGAGGGGTCCGATGCTTTTCCAACTCCCTGGAAAACCCCTCCCAAGCCTGGGAGGGAAAAATAGACTCTGTATGCATAGCTCACACAGAGGTGTTCATCCGGATCCCAGTCTGTGCCCGCTCTGCCTTTACTTAGAGCTCAAAGCCCCCCTGTGGCTCCCTTCTCCTTTCTATCTCTGCTGAGTGTAGATGGAAAGGAGGGCCAGGGAAGATCCTCACTGTCCCCTGGGGACTGAACCCCCCCCCCCCCGGGGAGGGAACAGTGCTAGCCTGCAGCCACATGGTAAGTCAGCAATGTCCTGGAACCCCAACGATTCAGCTCCCCATCCTTGCCCACCGAAGAGTAAAATACTCCTGATCCGAGGACGCATGTCTGCCTGCCACCTCTCCACACGCGGCTTACCAGAAGAAGTAGTGAGTCACTCTCAAGTCAGAGACGGCTCGTTTCAGGAGGAAGCGCACCAAGGGGCTGTCCAGGTAACACTCGTACTTCAGGGCCTGTTTAGGGGAAAGAGAAGGTTATATGGCCTGCCTGTCAGCTACACCTGCCACTATCCCACCGGGGACGCTGGGCTCTACAAGGAGAATGCACACAGACTTGGGGCCGGGGGACGGATCCTCAGAACCGGAGGGAAGGCTGATCCGCCCACCTGCACAAGCTGAGGCAAGTAGTCGAGGAGCTCAGCGTCCGACAGCGAGCCAATCCACTGGACGGCCATCCTTCGCACCTCCTGGTCCGGGAAGCTGCAAAACAGAGCCCAGCCCCCTGACACCCCAGCTGCAGGCTCTGCAGCCCAGGAGTGAGCCAGCACCCTCACAGCTGGGCTTCAGAGACACGGATAGAGAAAAGGCAAGGTCCCTCGGAGTCTGCCAAAGCCACTAGAAGAATCCTTAGCTCCTTGTCTGGATAGCAACCCTTAAGAATGGCCCTGTCCCCTGGTCAGAGCTGGCATGGGGCCACGGAGGAAGAGGACGGTGGCCACTTCCATTCCTTGTATGAGTTAAAGAAAACTGGACAAAGTCTTCAACCCCATTCCTGAAAATCTTTTCCTCCACTCCCACTGTGCTAGAAATTCCTGTCACCGAAGAGCCCTCATGTGGATTAAAACATGATGGTACCATCCTTTAATGCAAAGCCAGCCAGGTGAAGAATAGAGAATCATGGAGTTTTATATAAGCCAGTACCCAATGGCAGAGTTTAGTTGAGCAGAGATTAGCAAAAATGTGGTCTCAAAAAGTCCTGAAGGCGAGACACATGGTTCACGTACAGTTTAATTACCAAGAGCAGCAAGAAAGAAGCCAAGAATACTGGGTACCATCTGGAAAATGCAGCCCCGGGGTCTGAAACTGGGAGGAGCATGTCCCCAGAGAACCCTTCCGAGGGAAAGAAGGAAGAGAAGACTGTTAAAGTCGAACTAAGTGGTAAGGTTTGGGTCACCCAGGGGTGTGCACGTGTCAAGACTCAGCCAACACACAGGTAAGCCATAGGCATTTCCTTATATGTAAATTTTGCCTCAAAAGAAAAAACGAACAAACAAACATTGAGTTCTAGTTAATGATATACATACGCTGACGTATTTAGAGGGAGGTATGATGTTTGCAACTTACACTGAAATGTATTAAAAAAAATAAGATGGACTGAAGGTTGGATAGAGGGAAAAACACGCAAGAAAGCAAATATAGCAAATAGTTAAAATGGTTAGAATCTAGGTAGTGCGTACATGGATGTTCACTGTAAAGTTTTCGGTTTCCAAGTATGCTTGGAAAATGTTCCTAATGTCACACCGTGGGGAAAGGAGGCAAAGAAAAAGCAAAAAAGAAGTGAAGATGCCCTGAATTTCCTAACCCACTTTACCATTTTCCCCAGGGCTGGCTCAGGCTAGCGGTGGGCAGTGCCAAGCCTTGGCTTCTGGAAGGACTCGTGGTCAAGGAAAGGTGGGTGTTACAACTCACGTGGCATGCAGGAGCCCCAGGGCATCCTGGTGATTCATGTGGGTCCACTGCTTCAGGAGAGCATAGATGTCGGGCAAGCAAGCCCACTCCCAGCTGGGGGCGCTGGCGAGCACCAGGGGGAGGGAGTTCACCTCCAAATGGCAATAGTATCGCTTCTCCCACAGGCGCTTCTTGTCAGCCTCGGTGAGCCTGCGGGTGGGGGTTGCAGGGGAGGTGAGCGAGAGCACTGTCAGCCACACGTTAGGGTACTTACTCTCCAAAAGAATGCTACACATTCTCCAGTTCAGTGGTTCCCAAACTTTGCTGCCCATTACAAATACCTGGGGAGGTTTATAAAGTCCCCATGCCCGGGGCCACACCGACACCAATGGAGTCAGGACGTCTGGGGAAACCAGGCATTGGTATTTTTAAAAGATCCCCAGGTGACTGCAATGTGTGAAGCAACATTTGGGCACCAGGGCCCAAATCTTATCTTTGATCCTGACATCTCAGGACAGCTCAGACTGAGGCAGAATGCGCAGGTCAAGGGCACCCAATCTGCCACCCCTCCTGCCAATGCCCTTAGAGCGCCACTCTCAAGATGAGCCACCAGAGGGCAGTGGTCCCCACATGTCCGGGTCTGGATGGCTGAGAAGCCTCTGCGGCTTCCCGGGGCCAGCTGGAGGTTTTATAGAAGCCACAGCTAATTAAGCCTTGCCTGAGATCAGGTGTCTAATGGGAGAAGGGAGTTGAGGGGCTAATGAAGCAAGGGGTCAGCAGAGGAGTGCGGGCAGGGGGATCTGTAGTCACTCAGCTACTCTGGCTTCTTGGGTGGGATATGAGGGAGAGATGAGCCCCATCTCCCTTGCCCCCCTCAACACACACACACACACACACACACACACACACACACACACACACACACGAGCAGGCAGGGCAGGAGCCCCCATCCCACCAGCTCCTCCAATTCCCCTCCCCCTCCAATCCTGGTAAGAGAAGCGGCCCCAAGGATGACATCAGCTTGGACTTGCTTACCCTTGAGAGCTGCCACCCTGCCCTGACACCTGATCCTTTTTGGAAAGTGACAGGGCCAGAGAAATGCAAAGGCTGTGGGTGTGGAAGGAGCAGAGGTGGGGGCAGGGTGGTAAGGAGAGGAACCAGCTGCCTCCATGGGTAGCAAGTAGTAGACAGCATATCTGGGGTGTGGGTCCTCTGGCAAGCCGAGTCTGGGCCAGGTCCCCATTGTGGGGATGGCATTCCTAGATCCAATCAATCTCCTGACCCCGGTCTCTCCACTCTGCAGTGTCAGCTCAGGAGAAGAAGCCTGGAGGCTGCCCCAGCAGAGCCATCTCTCCACTGCGTCCTGCCTCGGTGGCAATGCCCACCCCATCCCACCTCTACTCCCAAAGCAGGAGGGCGGGAACCTGGAGCTGGCAGGTGAGCGGTCAGACAGCCTGGGGCCTGAGCCACACGTGTCGAAAGCCCCGGGCCTCACCAGTACAAGGACTCCTTCTGCATGATGTTCTTAAGCACACGTTGGTCTTCCTCCCGGAGGCTGCCAAACACATAGCGGGGGCTGAACTTGTCTCCAGGGGGGCTGGTGAACTTGATGTCGAAGGCTGAGGTGGGGAAGTCGATCTGGCGGAGAGCATCAGAGAAGTGGGGTGAGACGACAGGCAGGTGAGTGAGCGAGAAGGTGAGCCGCCACCTTCCCGGCTCTCCAGCACCTCTGTCTCAGGCCGGAGGTCCTGCTTTCCTCCCTCCCTCCCTTCCTTCCCTGCAGGTTGCTAGTAAAATACCCCTGTTGGACTTGGTGGGAACTTGGGACTCTGGGGAAAGCCCCTTCCAATCGTCACTTCCAGCAAAAAATGAGAAGGAAACAGAGCAAGAGAAGAACAGGCAAGTGAGAAAGAGGTTGGGGGGAGATGTAGCCAGGGGAGGGGTGGCCCCAGGCCAGAACTCTGAACGGAAGTGTCACCAGGCTGAGCCACTGGGAGCCTCCAAGAGGGAGGACCCACATTACCTTCAAGGGTGGCCCTGGAAGGCACTGCTGCCTGATGGGAAGTGGGACCACGTGCCAGGTGAGGGCCCTACGACTCTCAACCCTGTGGCCCTGGGTCCCCTTGCTCTATGATCTTCATCCTCTGAAGCCAGGTACCAGAGCGGAGTGGGTCCTATGTTCCCTCAATCAACAAATGTTTATTGAACCCTGATACGTTGCCAAGCAATGTTCTAGGTCCTGGGCATTCGGTCTGGTTAATTAAGAGAGACAAAAACGCCTGCCTCTGGAGCTTTCATTCTGTATCATTCTATTTCATGCTATGTCCACTTTGATATTCCAGATTCCATACCAAAGCATCTCATGATCATAAGGGGAGCCAAAAACCAGTAACTAGACCTTGGGCTTGACCAGCTCCTCCTCTCCCCAGAGGGTGGGTCCACTCTGGGAGCCGACTGGGTGGCTGGTTGCACCAGGGGCTTCCCCTCAGGCCCCAAGAGGGGACAGCTCAAATTTTATCAGACTCAGTAATACATGGGCTCAATACAAAGGACTCCAAGTTGCTGAGCCCCGGCGCGGGGTGGGGTTGGGGGGTGCAGGTGCTCAGGCCCTGCCTTCGGCCTCCTTGAAATCAAAGTTAACCCCCAGGAGATGGCACACAGATTCCACAGAACTCACCCTCCCACCCCGGGTCCAACCAAATTCACCCATTTGCTTCCATCACATCAGGGCCCTATGCCCAATGTGTCAGCGATTTCTCTTACTTCCTAGCCCAAACCTCCAGACAGAAAACTCGGAGCTGGCTCTTGGGCAGTCCTGAGCAGCGGGTAGCAGGGAGGGTCCTGGGGCTGGGGTCTCACCTGCAGGATGACGCTATCTGGCTGGTGGAAATTAGGTGCGCTCCAACGGGCACTGGGGTTTTCCTGTGTTGCTGGCCATAAGCCCAGAAGCTTCCGACCACAGGTCAGGACTCTAAGGAGAATGGAGGGGAGGGGAATGAGCCAACAATGGTTTTCCTCCTGCTCCCCCATCCAAAAATCTGCCTTTGAAGCCACCACCCAACTCTGTCATTCTTCTCTTAGACCACAGGTTCTCCCTTCTTCCAGGTCCTATAAAAGCACACCCCCTCCAGGAAGCCTCTGAATGACCTGGTGGTGGGGATGCCCCATGAGGCAGAGAGGTGGACTAGATGACCTCTAAGGCCCTCCAATTACAGGGCCAGATGACGTTACCCAAGCACTCTGTTTCCACACATGCACTTACCACCCCCGGCCCCATCCTGCCCAGAAGCTCTTGGTTACATCAACTGTCCTGGTCTCTACTCCTGTGCCTTGGTCCCCCAGCTAGGGCCCTCTGGACTCTGTGGGTGAGCCCCACATGGCCAACTGTCCCAAGGGGCACTGGCCAGTGCAGCACCAGGCCCCTCTCTCTATCACCCTCCTTCCCTTCCAAGGCCAAGAAGCCACTGGCGTGGGAACCACGTACTGCCTGAAGTTGAAGAGTGGGGTAGTGACCCAGCCCAGGGCTTCCGGCAAACGCCGCTGCTTATTGGCCTCTGAGGAGCTCCCAGGCAAGGGGATGGGCAGAGCGTAGAGTGTGGCACACAGCAGGGTCTCCCGAGGCAGCCGGTTCACCTGCACAGGGAAGCAGATCCTGGGGAGGACAGGAAACCAAATCAGGAGGTGCCACCCTTGTGGCGTCAAGGGACAGGTGGCCCAGGAAGTCGAGCGGAGGCTGAGACCTCGACCTGCCTCTCGGGGTATCAGATGTGCTCCCTGGGGAAGCCTGGAACCAGGACAGGTCCCAAACGGTAGGCGCAAGCTCCACTGGATGCGCCCAGAAGCACACTGTGCTGTCTCTGCAGCCTCTCAGTACAGTGTGCCTAACATCCCCATTTGGAGGCCACCCGCGGTGACCAGACAGAACTTGGGTAGCCAGAGCCATCTCAGAGTTCAGATGACTACAGGTCCCATAGTTAAGCCACACGGCCCCTGTTTCAGGATTTCTGCAGAGGGTCACCAAGAAGCTGCTCCTCTTGACGATCCTCATCCCTCCCCCACTTACCAGGCTGAAAAAGCAGGGAGGAAGCAGCAGCAGGGTGTTCTTTGCCCTCAGGCCACCCTCCCCCAATAGTCCTCCCACCTGTCTGTCCTCTCCTGTCCCCTTCTTCTCTCAACCCCCAGGGCACAACATGGTCTGTTCTCACCCCCAAAACATTTTCAAAACCAAAGGGATAGGGGCTTCCCAAAGTCCCTGTGGGGAGAGCAAGCAAACTGGCCAGCGATGATAAGAACTGAGACACGTAAGCCTCGCCACTACCCCAGTCCAGATGTGTTCTCTGGGGGCTCCTCTGCCCAGATCACGCCCAACCACTCCCTCCAAGTTCAGGAAAAGGAGCTGGGGTGGGGTGAGGGAGAGAGGAGGGGAGCTGTGGAAAGCGAGGGAGGACCCACATTACCTTTTGGGGAAGCTGTCCCTGGGCCAAAGTCCACACTGTCACGCCCTCCTGGCCAGCCCAGGGCAGTGTCTACGCCAGAGGGCACAGAGGCAGGGCGGCCACCCCCAAGGTTCAGAGGGGCCCGATCAAGCAGCCTCCCTCCACTGCTGCCCCTCACTCCTGCAGGAAAATCTCCACCTAAGTGAGGCACTCTCTCCCACCCGCCAGAGACTAGCAGAGCCCTGCTGTCCCAGCTGCCTGTACCCTGGGGGCCCACGGCTATAATTAGGGCCCCTCCAGCAGCCAGCAGACATGCAAGGCCCGGGCTTGGCTAGCGGATGGCAGAGCGCGGCCGCTGGGCCTATTTTGAGAGTGAGCTGATCCCGGTACTGTGGTGGCAGGACAGTCAGCTGACCCACAGCAAGTGGAGAGGGGGCTGGTGCTGACCCCTCTCTTGTCAGCCCAGAAGAGGCTTCTGGCTGTGCATCCGGAGGCAAAGAGAATAGGAAGCCACAACCCCTAGAAACAGCCAGGATCCCCTTCTCCTCAGTCCTTGAGTCCATCTAGCATTCCAAAACCTCTCCCACAGACCATCATCCGGGGTCCGTCAGGATAACCAGTATATTGACTGCAGCCTGAACCTCCTCCCTGCCTGTGAAACCCCTCTCCTTCCCTCTGCAGCCATTCCTCAATGTCACATCACAAGGGCCACCTCCTCCAGGAAGGACTCCTGGGATGTGCCGGTTCCAGTCCTGGTTTTGCTACTCGCAACACCTCGACCCTGGGTTCCTCCTCAGCGGAGAGCGGAACACAGCTTCACTTGTGTGATGTGTGTACACATTGTGTGCTTTTTGCTACGTGACACTAAGGCTTCTGCACTGGAACTGGGCTATGCAAATAGGATTTGCATGCACAAATATCTCCGTGTACCAGTCACCGTGTCAGTCACTTGGAACAGGGAAACCGGAACTGAGAAGGCTCCCCCAGCTAAAAAGATGACAAGGATGAAGAAGAAAGCATTTATCACACGCTGGCTACTGTACCATGCACTTTACTTGCAATGTCCCAGGAGTTCTCAAACGGCCCTACAAGTGAGGCCCGATTACTTCCCAAGGTTCCACCTATAGTTAGGGTGAGTGCGCCCAAGCCCGTGCTCTGAACCCTACACTGTAGCGTCTTCTCCCAGATGCCGTGATCCTGACCATGAAGGTGCCATGAGCCTCTGTGGGGCATGCGGATGGGGAGCACGGAGAGGAAATCTCCACAGGGCTCTAGGCAGGGACCAGCCCTTTGGGATTCGAGGCTGAATCTAAGACAGGGAATGGAAGGAGACCCACAGAGCAGGCAGGCCAAGGCAGGGCAGGCCAGGCCAGGCTCTATGCCGCTGAGACTCTACGGGAAGAGAGGCTCAGGCCAATGTTGTGGGATCTGCCCAGGCTGGAGCACTGCATAGCATGACCCCCTTGGCAGCGGTAGTCATCGAGGCCCGCGGGGCGGAAGGCGATGGTAAAACCCCAAAGCCGTTGGAGGCAGCCATCCCCTGCCTCCAAAGAGTCTCTCCCGCCCCAGTGGTTGTTTGATGAAAGCTTTATGTACCGCTTTACTGCTCTGTAACTTACACAGGTGTGAAGACAGGACAAGGGCCTGCCTTCCCAGCTGTCCGTCTGTTAAATACCCCACCTCTCGCAGTGTTTGCACAGACTCTGCCTCGGCCTATTTTGGCAAACTTGGCCTCCCCGAGGACCCTGTTCGGCCTCTAATCTGCACTCCAAATATTGAAGTTCCAGTTCTGCTCTGCAAATAAGGACTCAGACACAGCCAGTCTGGGGAAGTGAAGCTGGGGGCAGCAAACAAGGGGCTTTCTGGCAGTCTGGTGGGAGGGCAGGGCGCAGCACAGAAAGGGCACAGGGTAGGCACACACCTGCAGTGCATCCCCCCGACACGTGCTTGCCTCCATTTCCCTCCTGCCCTGCCTGGCAGACGCCTACCTTCCCGACAGCAAACCCGGTCAATAAATGCTGATTAATACCATCTTGTGCTTGTGGTTTCATACTTATATTTATACTCTATCTCATTTCAATGCCACAACGGCCTCTGAATTAAACAAATGGCCCCACTTTACAGTTTGAGGCACAGAGAGGCCAAAGAGAATGCAGGACTAGAGACAGAGCTAGAAAGAGAGGCTTATTCCTGTGGCTCCCAGCCCACTCTTCTTTCCTTTAGACAACCTCCCCTTTCCCACCTACAAGGAAAAAAAGCACAGCCCCTCTCCCTATTAGATGGAAACTTTGGGAAGAAAGGAGAGGATGAGAATCCCTCAAACTAGTTAAACCTTAAAAGGGAGACAAGATCAGGACGATGAATTACCACGAAAGCCAACCACTAGCTTTTATACGATCCCTTACGGTTTACGGAGAGAGCCTTTGTGCATTAGAAATGGTACTTGACCCCATCTAAGGGTTAAGGAAGCGGAGACTCAAGAGGCTGAGGGTTTGTGTAGGTAGGGTTCATGGTGGAGCCTGGTTTACTGCAGGTGTGGGCCCCTCTGCGGGGTCTGCAGGGGCAGCCCAGGGCCCAGGGGGAGGGCTTACTGCTGGTCCCAGATGATGAGGTGGAAGAGGTACTTGGAAAAGTGAGCCCTTCGGGTGTACAGGGGGCTGCATAGTTCCTTCCCGCCATGGCTGAGGGAGCAGGAGAGGTAGAAATCTTCATAGCTGCAACAGAAAGAGAGGAAGGACGCTCAGCTTCCAAACCCCATCACAGTCACCCAGCCTATGCCAAGCTCCATTTCTCCTGTGAAGACTCCTCCCTGTTCCCTGGGGGCTACAGCATGGGGTCACCGGACAGGACAGTCAAATTGGATTTGAGAAAGCTTCAGGAGAAGCAACTGGATCTGGATCCCTCCGCCCACCTTCAGGCTCCATGCTGGGCCCACCGTTTTCCTCCCTTCTTTATTGGGGACCAGCCCGTGCAGCCGCCTCCTTACAGTTGGTGGGTAACTGTGTGCACATGCAGAAGCGACAAGGGTTGGGGGGGGGATGAAATCGACATATGCCGACGTGAATGCCAACACATGGGGGTCCCTGTGGCTCGTGACAGGTGCCTGACAGAAGAGGTCAGAGAAGGCCCTGGTTTCCCAGGCTGCCTCCTTTGTTCTCCGCCAATCGCCCAGAGGAATACATTAAGTGAGGAACAAAAAGAGAGGGGGAAGGGGGGGGTGTCCGGAAAGGAGGGAGGTGGAGCCAAATGCCTTTTCCCCCAGGCCCTGGATGCCAGGGACCAGGCGGAGGAGCTGAGGATTACCAAATGAAGCTCCCCCTCCACCACCCGTGCAGGCCTAGGGAACTCCCGACAAAGGGTCATCTCCCACCTCCCCACCCCCCTCCCATTGTGCATCTGCAGGGAAGTGCAGTCATTGGCCTTGGGGCAGGCACTGAATCTGGGAAGCCGCCATCTGTCACAGTGTCTCCATCAGCTGGCCTGGGACGGGTGGGGGGCAGGGATGCCGATGCAACCAGCTCTGAGAGGGCCTGGGAGGATCTGACCACTGCAGCCTCCTCTCCGATCCCAGGGGACCTCCTGCCTCTCCTTGGGATGTCCCTGCCCACAGTCCCCCACCATCAGGCATTTGGTGCACCACAATGCCTCAGACCGTCCACTCAGGACAGTGGGGTTGCACACAGACAGGGAGAAGCCATCTGAAAGTCAAACTCCGCTCGCTCCCTAGAGGACATTCAGCCCTGGGCTCACCTGGTAGCCCAGGTGATGGGGATGCGGTGGGTGGCATAGACAGTGAAGGCCAGGGGCCCAGAGAAATGGCAGGCCTCCTGGACCAGATCGTGCTTGCGGCTCCCATGCACGGCCGTCTGGAAGTCCGCATCAAACGTGCTGCAGTATAGCTCCACCAGGTCCAAGATGGCGGCTGTCAGAGCTTCCACAACCTTCTCTGTGAAAGGAACAGGTCAGAAGGAAAGGTCACGAGGCCTCAGCGAGCCCCATCCTGTTGCCATGGCACTGGGGAGGATGGTGTACCCCAGGGCAGTAGTCCCCAAATGCCAGTCAGTTTCCAACAGCCATGACAAGGTTCACCCAGCCATGGTGAAATGAGGGGAAAAAAGCAGAATCATGTCATGCGCTTCTCACAAAATGATACTCAATTTTATTTTATTATTACTTTTTTAAATGTTAGTGTCTCCTCAGTTTTGTTTTTTAAAGACTTTATTTATTTGAGAGAGCGAGCATGAGAGAGAGAGAGAGCACACAAGCAGGGGGAGGGGTAGAGGGAGAAGCAGGCTTCTGGCTGAGCAGGGAGCCCGATGCAGGGCTCGATCCCAGGACCTGAGCTGAAGGCAGATGCTTCACTGACTGAGCCACGCAGGCACCCAATACTTATTTTTATTTATTTTTATTTATTTTTAAAGATTTTTTATTTATTTATTCATGAGACAGAGAGAGAGAGAGAGAGAGGCAGAGGGAGAAGCAGGCTCCCAAGGAGCAGGGAGCCCGATGCGGGACTCGATCCCAGGACCCTGGGATCATGACCCGAGCCGAAGGCAGACGCTTAACCATCTGAGCCACCCAGCCGCCCCCAATACTTAATTTTAAACATTCTCCTTATTTTTACATAGGGCTACCTATTTTGTGTTAAATGTCTTTTCTTTTGGGAAATAATCATTAAATGATCATTTAAAAGTCATTGCTTGGCAAAAGAAAAGCAGACAATTTCTATGTTGGTCCCTAAAATAAATGCTTTGTTCAGGGCGCCTGGGTGGCTCAGTTGGTTAAGCGTCTGCCTTCGGCTCAGGTCATGATCCCAGGGTCCCAGGATCAAGCCCCGCATCAGGCTCCTTGCTCAGCGGAGAGCCTGCTTCTCCCTCTCCCTCTGCCTGCCGCTCCCCCTGCTTGTGCTCTCTCTCTCTCTCTCTCAAATAAATAAACAAATGATCTTTAAAATGAAATAAAATAATGCATTGTGGGGCAGGTTATTAATTCATGGAATCCAAAAGACTGGGAATCACCGACCAAGAATCCCAGAGAGCAAAGTTCTGCTTGAAAGACTCACTCCTAGTGAAAAATTCTTTATCACCTTCTCCCCAGGCCCATTCTGAGTTGGAAACACAGGCATCATGAGCCTCCTGAAGAATAATGACAGACCTACCCTAGTAAGAGTTTTCTCATCTGGAGCCCAGGGCTAATTTTGCCTCACCACCCCCAGCCTCCCACGTATACCGCCTCATCACCATCTCCCAGGGACACCACAGGAATAACTAGTAAAAATAATGAGAAAACATTTTGTGGAAAGAAATGTGCTCTCCAGCTGGAAAACACACACACACACACACACACACAGAGGCAGACCTGGACCCATAAATCAAGGGGCCAGGGAGAAAAAGGAATCTGGGCAGAGACCTATTTTCAGCTGCCCCTGCTGAATAAAGACAGAGAGAAGTTCCCTTACCTCGGTTTTCCCTCACAGCCAAGACAGTGGGATCCTATTGGGGGAAAAGGAGAGGGAGGGGAGCTTCAGGGCTGTGGCCTTTTTCGGCACAGCTGGAAGAAGGGCTTTCCACAGCTGTGCTCATCTGGACCAGACTGGCCTGAAATGTGAGGAGCAGAGACTCCCCAGGGAAGACTGTGTCATGGTTTGTACCAGAGCCACATGATGGACAGAGGGAGCCAGACCAAGGTTAAAGTCGTGTCCACCCAAATGAGACACTCCCACCCTCAGGCCACTCCAGCCCAGGTCACGGTGGCCACCTTGCTGGCCCTGTGTGTGCGGCATGTGGCCCCCACTGTGGAGTCACAGAGCCCCTGGCTCAGGGAACGGTTTGGTTTTGCACCCTGGTGGGTATGCAAAGCGCCAGGCAATGCCTCGGTGATGATGAATAAAGCCTTTGCCAGCCCGGGTTCCTGGCAATCAGTGCCGGGGCAGACCCTCAACTGCCCTCATCCTCAGGAAGAGGGGACACATGAACTCTTGTGGTAAATTCCAAACTTGCAAGATGGAGGTGGAGAGAGGACCTTCTGAGTAAGTGGGCACCTAGTCACCCAGCTACCTGTGACTACTGTTCTCCTCCTCCCCCACATTAGCGCTCTGAGCCCCGTTACCTTCTGAATTTTCGGCTGCATGCGGGAGGGGCAGGGGGGCAGCTGGTTGAGGGCGCTGGTGATCTCAGGGGTCTCCACGGCGGCTAGGGCATTGCAGATGGCTTTGACGGACTGGACCACCCTGTCGGCCTTCAGTGGGAAGTCCCCCTGTGGGAGGCGGCACAGCGAGGCTGGCAGGCGAGCACTCTCAGCCCCCAGCACCCACACTGTTGAAGGAATGGGCTGTGGGGAGTAGGGCTTCATGACCCTCAGGAGTTAAGAGCGGACTCCCATGCTTGATTTTCACACATCCGGCATTAGCGAACAACTTCTCCTCTTGAATTAGATGAGCCATGCCCAGGCTTCTAGGTCTTTCGGCCATCCTCCCTGAACCTCCTCCGATTCCCAGACTCCCTCTGGCAGCTACTGTACAAACACATAACACACACACATGCCCCAGAGACATGCAGTTTTAATGAAACCAATCCACAGGGAATAGCAAGGAAGCCAGAGACCATATTCAGGCCCCTTTGCCCAGGCCGCCTTACAACTCGTACTGTCACCTAGACCTTCCAGGAGGATGCCGTCTCGGCACCACAGGCAGGCCACACCCATGCGTTCTCCTCTGCACTTGGGCTCCTGCAGTTTTCTCACGTGGAATCACCTCACCTGCCCTGTCCTGATTACCTACGGAAGTTCAAATCATGGACCAGCGAACGCCCAGCCTCCTTCTCACAGGCCCCTGGCCAGTCTTCCTATCCCCCTCCAAGAGCCCGTGATGAACTCAGAACCACCCTGTTCTGCCTCCTAATAGCCTTGTGTTACTACGCTGTCTTGCTAGCAGGAACACTCACTCCCTGAAGGCTAAGACAATCTTTATGCTTCTCTACCCACAGTAGCCACTAACATAGAGCCAGACTCGTACACAAAAGGTGCTCAGAGACCTTCCCGCTCAACCCGGTAAACGTGGGTGTGGAGCAGAGGCTGCTGGAGAAGGGAATCCGGTGGTGGGTGGAGGACTGAGCTAGATATAATGCTCAACTCCCCCAAAGGCAAGAGTCTGTGACCACTGTGCACTGGAACCACGAGATAGGGATTAGTTTTGAAGATCGCTGTCCTTTTTTTTTTTTTTTTAACCTTCATGACATTTGGGGCAAATGTTTATTCTCATGGTTTCGTGGCTTAAAACTCCACGAGAATCCAAGTGAGGAGAGTCCCGGCCCTTGCCTACCACGGTGACCCTTCACCTCCTGACGGTTTCCTACCTGTGACTCCAGCATATCGGAGCGTCTCAAATCAGAGGTTCCTGGGCATTGCTCATAGGATGCACACTCTGGGGCACATTCAAGTACAGCAGCCGGGGGGACACCTCTATGTCCCTTAGCTTTGGAGACGCCCTACTCCGGAGACAGGGATCAGGGCATGGTTCTTGACCTACTTCCACAGAGGAGCAGAACCCCTCTTGCCAACTGCCCAACAGCCAGCAGCCTTGGGCTAGGGGAATGGGAAGAAGTGCTAGGGGGGCTAGGGGAATGGGAAGAAGTGCTCTGCTGATAGATTTTCAGTGTCTACTCCAGAGCCCTTTAGGGCTGGCTGATCCCAGGACGACTTTGGGAAAGCAGGGGTGGAGCTCTGGGCAGCTGGGCCAGCCCCACGATGGATACTCACATCAGCCAGCAGGAAAGCATCCACTTCATTATGGTATGTGTCGAACAGAAGATCCAGGGCCTGCCTGGGGAGTTGGGGACAGGGAAAAGTCATAGGAGAGGTCAGGACAGTCCCAAGGTACTGGGAGACCCATTCTCTCCCTCCTTCCCCACAGCTCAGGATTCAGGCTCTAGTTTAAAGGGGTTCCCACTCTTTCTATAGGTTCACCACCCCTCACCTGGAGAATGATGACAAAGTACTAGAGGGAAGAGATGTAACACACCCTAGAGTGGGGATCTTCTCCCAGAATACTCTTGGGTCTCATCCCAGACACCTGTAAGAACCCCTGGCACTGGCAGAAAGGCAAGCAAATTCTCCGTTGGGGTCCCCTCACAGTTCCTGTTTGGCCCACATCCAAGATGGCACCCACGCTCACCTGCTGATGGTCTGTTTGACTGGCCTCTCTTGCAGATGGACGAGGTAGTTCAAGGTGGAGGGGCTCTGGTCATCATTCACCTGTGTAAGAAGCGTCCTATTCAGAGAGGAGTGGTACCTGGATCATAACCCAGCGCTCCTACCCTACTCCCACTGAATGCGCTCCGTATCACCTTCCACCCACGCCACCTCCCCAAGCCCGTGCAGCCAACCACTGCCCCTGCCGCCGCCGCCCCGCACGAACCGTCCGGGCCAGGTCACTGCGTACAGCTTTCCGCTCCATCAGCTGTAGCTGAATGTCGATGTCGAACTTGCGGCAATATTGAATGTACTCGTGGCTGCCCAGGGCATGCTTACTGGTGGAACAGGGGGACAAGACCATTAACACCTCGGGCACTCAGTGGGAAGGGAGATGTATACCTTAACCTTGGGGAGAGAGAATTAAGAGGAAGCGGGCAGTGAGAGGGGTTACTACCTGGGCTCCTGGAAAATGTCCTTGTAGAGCTCAGGGAAAAAAACGGAAGTCTGTCTAAAGAAAAGCCACCTAATACACGTAACCTTGGTCTGTATAAACGCTGACTTTCCTAGGCATTTATTATCTGTATCATCATCACCGATCGCTCCAGGGGTGGGCCTTCTGGAGGAAGTGGGGTACAGAGACTTCTCGGGGGAGTTGGTGATTAAACCGCATTCTCTCAGCTTTGGTATACAGGACACTTTGGAAGTGCTCCAGCTGGGGAATGGAGCTTACTGAGCGACACTCTCCCCTCCCCGTGGTCCTCAGTCTCCCACCCCTTACCATCAGCGACTGGGGTGCTGAGGCCGACCAAAGAAACCCACCAAGATTCTAGGTCTGTTATTCCCGAGCCCAAAAAACTCTCTTCACTCCTTCATCCGTGGGTCCTGTCCGACTGTGAATGACAACACACATCTCTACAGACCTCCTGACCAACACCCATCTGCAGGCCATTCACTGCTTGAGTGACAACACAGGCGACCCTGTCGACCCGAGTCCCAGAGGAGGCCTCGGGAGTCCCTCTGTGACCCAGCCTTTTCCTCCCTCCCGAATTACATCATAATCAGAAAGGAAACCCAGGAGAAGGGGCAGAGGGAGTCTGTCCTGCAGACCAGCACTGAAGGCCTGGGCCGGGTCCCAGCAGCTGGGTAACAGAAGCCGGAAAGGGACTTCCTTCCTCGGCAGAGCTGGGAATCTAGGCCAGAAATGGAGGGGAGAGGAGAGGAGCAAAGGGGAGGAGTCTGTGCAGCAACCCAAGAGGTGGCGGCCTGAGACCAGTCTGGGTCCAGCTGGGACTGAAGGGGTTCTCCACATCCTGAGGGGCCAAGCCTCAAGGATCTAGGCCCCAACCTGCCAAGGCTGAGCCGGAGCTAAACCCTGGGGGCGGAGAGGCTGGGCAAGGGGGGGTCTGGTGGGAGTGCCTCAGGAGGAAGGAAGAGTGTGGTAGGGGTGGGGGAGGCAGCAGGAAACCCAGCCCTCCCCTGGGACCGTCTCAAGGTTCTTATCTGAGAGCAGCCTGCATCCTGGACCTACCACGCCCCCTCAGCATCAGCCCCTGCTCAGCCAGGGTAGGAAACCACAGGGCTTCCTTGGGAGCCAGCCGCTTTCTGGAACCCCCAGAGGGTCTGTCCACCCCCACCCAAGGCAGCTGTCTGGTACTCAGGGGTCAAGGCTTTTCTGCTGGGTGGGAGGGAAGAGAAGAGCCTCCGTGGAAGAGGGAGGCTTCGGGACCATGAGTCATGGACACTGGGGTCCCCTGGGGACTTAATTGACCTTCTCTGTGGAAGGCCTTCCTCTGTGTGCATTCAGCTTAGAGTGGGAGGGGCATGACCCTAGGACCACTGATCCGGTTGCACCTCACACTGAACACTCCAGTGAGGTCTTCGCAGGAAGTCAGAACCTGATGGCCTGTCTACCATCTTTGGCCCTGGGGGCTCAAGGACTATGAGAGTATCCAGCTGATCTGGATCCCCATGCTCTCTTCCCTTTGGGCTGGTCCTTCCCTGCTCATTGGGTCATTCTTACATGCAGTCCTTACTACGTTTTAGGGAAGAAACTGAGGATCAGGGTTTTACAACTAGTAAGTGGCAAGCTAGAGCCCAAACCAGCCATACTGGTGTGATCCATTACGCCCCTTGTTCCCTTACAACAGTGCCTGGGGTGCTTTCTGCCAGGAGACCCTGAGTCTAGGACCCTTTCTTACGCCTCTACGGAAGGTGAGTACACATTGAACACACTTGAACAGTGCTCCTGGGGCTGTGCCACTCAGGGCCCTGCCCTTCCTTTCCCCAGGGTGAAAGAAACCAGTCAAGAACTGCTCTGGCCATTGGTGAAGCATCCCTGCATCTCGAGCCAGTGGTGGCGCTCATCCGGCACTCCTAAGAACTGAGACCCAGGCCCCTCCTTTCCCCACCACCAAGGCCTGCTTTCTCTGAGTGGCCAGGGGAAGTGGGCAGTAGGTAGCCAGAGGCTGGGGGAGGAAAGCACATCTTTTTCCTTATCTGCTGCCTTCTGGCTGAGTCTAGAGCCTGCCCACAGCCCTACTCCCAGAGGGGTGTATTCCCTCCCACTCCCGCCCCAGCACCCAGAGCCCCAGGGCAGTGGAAAGGGCAGAGCTGTAGCTGGTCCACATCAGACTTTCCAGGAGGCTGCCTGCTGCCCAGGGCACTGGGTAGAGAGGAGCTGGACGCAAGCCTTTGGTGGATAACCAGCTGCACATGCCAGTGGGGGAAAGGCCTATTGGCAGGGAAACGGGGAAGAGGGAGCAACTGTAATTTTTCCCCTAAGTTCCGCAAGGGCACTTCTGCCCAGTCCTCCATCTGCCCCTGACCATAAAGACACACAACCCAGAAGTAGCGCCCGACAGTCCCCTCCCCGCCTCGGCCCCACACCCGCATCTCTCCACACGCAGACGCCTGCAAGCAGATATGACTTAGTCTTTGCCTGGTCCCAGCTCCAAGCTCTTTCCACAGCAGACTTGGCTCAGAAGCCAGCCAGCCCTGCTGGAAGACAGAGTGCCTGGGGAAAGTGCGACGTGGCTGTGCGTGTGCCCAGAAAGCAGCTGTGGGATCAGGGAGGGGCTGCCAGCCCCAGACCGCGAGCCCAGCACCACCCCAAGGAAGCCCCTTGACAATCCTACCACGCCGAAGGCAGGTGCCGCTTCCTACCCGCTTTCCCCACAGTTCACTCACTTCTGCAGGAACTCCTCCAGCCCACAGGGCTTCAGCACAAAGTTCCCCACGTCCACATCCCTCAGTTCATCATGGGTGTAGCACAGAGTCTGGTGGATGAGCAAGTCTACAGTGGAAGAACCTGTAAGGGGTGGGGCAGGGGAACAATGATGGGGGGGAGCCAGGGAAGGTGGGGCTCAGCATCCCCAGCTGATCGCCCTATTCCTGGCTAAACATTCTCCAGCACCGCGGCTATCCAGATAAAGCAGGCGAACACACAGTTTGGGCTTGGGGAAAATGACTGTGGGCCCCTAAAGCTGCCCCAGAGCCAGTCCCCCAGAGGAGCGTCCCCGATGCCCCTCATCAGGGCCACAGGTGGGGTGGGACTTGAGGTCAAAGGATCCTATAGTCCAGACCACAGCCATCCCTGCTCCACCTCAACGGATGCTCATCTGCCCTCCCCACTTACAGTTGCAGGTAAAAGTGAGTGGCTCCTGTAGGCTGTCACACAACACGGTCACCTTCAGGTTGACCTCATCCCCGAGGTGCTCTGGGCTCGGGGTGACAGCACTCCAGACATATCCGGTGAGGGAGTAGTCTTGGATGTCAGAGCCAGATCGAAGGCTGTGCAGAAAGAGAGGGAGAAGGACCCTCACTGTGCCTTCAGAAGAGAGCAGTCAAGAAGACACCTGCTGGAACCCTCCCACCCTGAGGCCAAGGTCCCTTCTGTCCCTGCTCAGCCCGGCCCTCCAGGTCTGCAGCCCGGGATTGGGGGCAGTGGGGAAGCAGCTCTGGGAAGCCATGTTCTTGACACATTTGCTACAGCTACAAAATGTTTCCCAAGCCCCGCTGCATGGTAGGGACAGTTCTAAGTTCTACAGTGACAAAGCTTTCTGTGCTCAATTCAGTGGGAAATTCTCCCGGCTCCATTTCCTTTCTCTTTTAGCTCCAGGTAATATACTCTTTGCTCCATCCAGGGTGCATTTGCTCCTGAGGGCAACCGAGCCTGAAGCCACTGGGATAATTTGTCTGTTGGATCAATGGTTGATAAACTTTGCCCAAAATGTGAAACTTCTAAGATTTCAAAAAGCCCACAAACACCTATTGTAGGAAACACCCCATAGCCGTGAATTGAGATTGATTCAACATGGCTCTTCTTCCTACCTCGAGAAAAGTTCTGAGTGGGCTGGCCCTCCTCCCCAGCCCCCAGAGCCCTCCCCAACACCCCATTCTTTAACTCTTACACATCCAGCATGTGGCAAAACGCAGCAACTTCCTCATCTCTTTCCTCTGAGACCTCAAACAATTCATGGCCATTGGCAACAGCATGGCGCCGTGAGTCCACCTTTAAGAGAAGAGCAGCTGACTCAGTGCCTTTTCCGTCACGGCACCCCCTTCCCACAGGCTGCTCCCAGATCTAACCCCTGAAACTCTGGGTGTAGAGGCTTTTTTAAGCACTGAACATTCAGGGGCACAGGAAAATGTGGGAAATCCAGGAATGTCTTTATCTGCTGTCCTAGGAGACCAGGAGCCAAGGGGGAAAAAAAGAGAACTTGAAGCCTTGGCTGAGGCTGGAAGTCTGGGTGGAATGGACAAGAATGTGGCCAAACCTCCTCTCCTAGGGTGGGCTGGGGGCGGCCAGCATCTAATAAGCTCAGCCCAGGTTAGGCAGCATACAGCACTGCTGGTCCCTGGGCTGGCTTTCTGGGGGTGCTCCCAGGGGTGTGGTGGAGAGCTCTACAGGCAGCTATTTGTCTCCATCCCAGCGTGGGGTCCAGGGCCAGTGGGTTGCCCAAACAGTGCCCGGGGAAGCTGGGCCTGGGGCAAAGGCCTCAGCATCCACAGCAAGCCTCAGGGATCCAAAGCAGAGAGAGACCGAGAGCCCTCAGATGGAGGCGGTGACTCAGACCTGTGCCTTCTCGGTCAATGCGATTTGAGGAAGAAAGTATCAAAGCGGCTTTCTGGGCAGGAGAGAACCTGCAGAAGAAGGCTTAGCTCCTCCTGGCTCCCGAGAGTTCAGCTGGAATGTCAGGGGCCCTGCCTGGGCCCCACTTCCTACGCGGGAACCTGGGTGTGGGGGGGCGGGGAATTCTCTCAGATGAGACACGACCTGTCTCCCAGGCACAGAGCTGCTTTCAGTCACCGCGACGAGAGCGCTAAAGAAGCCCTCGGAAGCTCTCGACCAAGGCCCGCAGCCCGGGCCCCAGGGAGGAGGAAGTGCTGGGGACAGCTGGGGCCCGGCAGGTTCCTGCCTGACAGGCCACCCCACGGGCACGAAGCTGCAGCTCAGATGGAGCCCAGCCTGCATCCGGTAGGGGCGGCCACGGCCAGCAGCTGCTTCCGGGGAGCGGGGAGCGCAGGCCTGGGCTCAGAGCAACGCCTCACCTCTCGCCCTCCCGCCGGCTGCTCTCCTGTCCCGCCGGCCCCCAGGGCCCCACGGCAGCCACTGAGCGCCTCATCTGAATATCCAAATTGTTTCCTCTGAGTGACCCCTCTCATTAGCCTTGCTCCCCGGGTGAGTGTGGAGGGGTGCAGAGGGGAGGGCGCAGCGGGGGCGGTTGGCACGTGAGGCCCTTGCTCTGCCAAGTTCCAGCCTGTGTCCCACTCACAGCAACAGTGCCAGTGTCAGCAATTAACCCACAAAAGTGAGGGGGGGACAGAGACAGAGAGACAGAGAGACAGAGAGACAGAGAGAGGAGGGGAAGGCGAGGGGGATAGAGAACAGAGTGGCTACTGAAGGCCATTTCCATGCCCTTCAGTACCACCCCCTGGCTCCGTGAGAAAACAAAAGCCACTTACGTCTGCGCTGCCGGCAGGCCCTGGTGGCAACGCCGGACGCTGGCTGGGGGGGTCTGCTGGGCAGAGGCTTGCAGCGGGGGCACCAGGCTGGCATTTGGAGCCGACCATTTCCAGAGCCAGCTCCGCAGGCCTGGGATAAGGAAGGTCCCTCCGTCTGAAAGCCCGGTGGAGGCGGGGTGGCGGGAGGGGCCGAGGGCCCGAGAGGCCCCCCCGCCCGGTGGGATGAGCCCCCGCACCGAGCTGAGGGGGAAACGACCAAGGCCGCATCTCCCCCACCCCAAGACCTGGCAAGAGCTTTTTGCTCTGCCCTAGCTTCTCCAAGGACACTCTGGACCAAGCTCCCTCTCAGAATGCTGGTGACACGCAGGGGTTAGGGGAAGGGTGCGGTGGTGGAAGGAGGCAAGAGAGACAGGGAGCGCCAGAGGTGACCACCTACCCGGGTGGCCTGACTCCGAGCAGGCCCCGCTCTGGGTGAGGGACTAGGAGCTGGGAACAGGAATCTCCCCGTCCCTATAAATAGAGGGAGCAGCCCCACCTCTCGGAGCAGGGCCTTTAAAAAGCCCTGAGCTCCAGAGTCGTGACTTCTCCCAGAAGCTGAGTCTGCTTTGGGGGACTCTCTTAGCAGAACCACAGGAAGGAAGGACCACGTGACTTTCCCAGAGTTGAAGGATCCCAATTGCTGGGACACAGGGCGGGAAAGCCCCCGTGTCTCTTAGACAATGGATGAGGAGGAACCAGGGATGGAATGAAGTGGAATGCTGTTCCTGCGGAAGCCACTGGCCGTAAGATACCTCTTGACTCCCTCTGGGGTCGGGGCTTCCAGAACCAAGGGTGAAACTCCAAGGGGCCTTCGGGTCCCACCCACGGAGATGCTGCTGACACTCTTTTAAACCAGAAAAAAGATCAAAGCTGTCCTGGAACCTACCCCATACTTCCGTGTGGATACTTCGCTATTTTATACTGTGTACGGATAAAAGCAAAATGATTATTGTCACACTGCGTATCTTTTCTAAATATTTTCACTCTGAAAGCAGGTGGCCGGTGGGGATGGCTGCGCAACAATGTGAATGTTGCTAATGTCACCGAACTGTACATGTCAGATTGGCCAAGATGGTAAATCTTGTTCTGTATAGTTCCCCACAGTAAGAGAGACAGGCAGAGAGACAGAGGGAGAGATAGAAACAGAACCAGAGGGACAGAGAGGAGACAGAGAGAGAAAGGCAGAGACAGAGAGGGTAGAGAGACAGAGAGACTGAGAGACAGAGGGAGACAGAAGGAGACAGAGAGCAAGAACCAGCAAGCTTCGGAACAAGAGAGACCAGAGCTGTGTGCCTTGGACTATCCAGTCCAGGATTGTTGAGGGGTCTGGACTGGGGTCTGGTGACCAGCGAGCACTAACCACTGGTTAATGCCACGATTGAGCCTATCACCACGCAGCACTTTGGGCAAAGCAGGTCAGAAAGCAGAAGCAACCTGCTCCAGTCCACAAGGCCATTTGGCCACAGAGTCACCACGAACCCCCTCAGCCCAGTTCCATCCTTACCTCCGGAAGTGAGCGTGAGCACACGCTAGGAACCGAGATTCCAAAACACCTGCCCCCGCAAGGGCTGTCTGGGCACAAAACTCAGCCCTGAAAAGGAGCCCCGTCTCCCCTGGTGCCCCTCGTCCTCTCCCCAGCCAGGGCCCAGGGGCCAGAAGACGGGCAGAGGGGAGGAGAGGACTAACGGGGTGAGGGGGTAGCAGATTTCGATTGGGAACAACAAAGATGAAAGAAGGACTACTCTTTTGTTTCCCAAATGGCGTTTGGAAAGGAGAGCAGAAGGAACACAACGAGGTCCTCACCGGTGTGGCGGAAATCCGGCGGTTCTTGCCCGGGGTCTTATTTTTCCCATTGGCATAGCGGGAGGTATAGGTGCGCGGCGGCACCTGAGGGGGCATGGTCTTGCTCCGGGCCACAGGTTTCCCAGGAGTGTCCTTGCCGCCAAAGTCCAGGGGCCCCCGGCCCTCCTTCCAGCCCCTGGTGGTGTCATGCAACATCTCCGCATCGTAGGTGGACTTCAGGTTGAGCCGCGTGATCGCATCATTGATACCGTCATAGTCCACAGGCCCCAGGAGGCGCCCCGGACCCCCGCCCCCCCGCTCCTCTTCCTCCTCTAGGATGCGACGCCCCAGCAGTTTGCCTGGAGGTTGCTCCACCAAAGAGAACGTGTTGAAGTCATTGGGCTGGGAGATCTTAGAGGATGAGGGAGACCCCTTTCTGGGAGGCAGCGGAGGGGTGTCCCAGATAGAGACACGGGGAGGCAGAGGAGGTGGGGACAGTTTCTTGGAAGAGCCATCTATGTCCCCCAGTCCTATGTCCCCCGGGGACAAAGAGAGCCCCTCATCTGAACCATCAAAGATGTAGAGATAGTCTTGAGCCAGAGAGCCTTTTGGCCAGGGATCCGGGCCAGGCTGGGAGCCCTGGGAGGTAGAGTGGTTGGATAACCCTTCCTGTGGGGAGAGTGAGTTGTAATTGAGGGTAGGATCGGAGCCAGAAAGACCACGTAAGAGTTTGAGGTCCTTCTGCCTTCCTGCCGGCTTGCTGTAGAAGTCTAGGACAGGCTCATCCCAGCTGATGAGAGAGGAGTCTGTGTTCTGCTTGGCTTTGCTCTCCTCCTTGTCATGCCGGAGCCGGGACAGCGCGTCGTACTCCATCTGCAGGGCTTCGGCCATGGCCAGCTCCTTGCGGCTGATGCCCACCGACTCCAGGGACTTCCAGTGTTCCCCATTGCCCTGAGTCGAAGACATGGTGAGGACGGGGAGCAGAGGAGACAAGGAAGTCTTCTACTTCCTCCCAGTGTCAGGTGTACAGGATTCTGGCATGGTGTCTGGGCACCTGCAGGTGAGGGGTTAAAAATATCATTCAGCCACAAAAAGATTTGAATTAATAATGTGACCTGGGTAACATAATCTGGGCCACTGCCTGCTTCTCCAGTGCCTACGATAGATGGAAAGAAACAAAAAGACGGAGAAAAAGAGAGATACCAACACAACTCTATGGAATACATCCATCCACCTTTCCATTCATCTACAGATGTCTGGTCCTTTGCTCCCACCCTCCTCTCTCTCCCGTGTACCCCGATGAAAGGAGGAGGCACCTCGCATCAGCCAAGAGAAGATGGAAACGGGCTCTTCGATCCGTTTAAAGAGGACCGTTCTTGGGGTACCTGGGTGGCTCAGTTGGTTGGGTGTCTGCCTTTGGCTCGGGTCATGATCTCGAGGTCCTGGGATCAAGCTCCACATCGGGCTCCCTGCTCGCAGGGAACCTGCTTCTCACTCTCCTCCCTGCTCATGCTCTCTCACTGTCTCTCTCTCAAATAAATAAATAAAATCTTAAAACAAACAAAAATAAATAAAATAAAGAGGACCATTCTCATACACTGGTGGGGAATGTGAAGTGGGGCAACCACTTTGGAAAACAGGCAGCCTCTTGAAAAGGTAAACACCCACCTACCATATGACTCAACTGTCCCACTCTTAGTCACTTATCCAAGAAAAATGAAAGCACATGTCTGCACAAAGACTCATATACGCATATTCATGGTAGCCTTATTTGTCATATCCCCAAACTGGAAACCCAGGTCTGTCCATCAACAGGGGAATGAATTAAAAAATGTGATTATGTCCACAAAATGACACTAACTCAGCTACAAAAAATAATGAATTACTGACACGTGCACTAACATGGATGTATCTCAAAATAACTATATCTGAGTAAAAGAAGCCAGACAAAAAAGTACGAATATGTAGGATTCCATTTATATAAAATCCTGGAAAATGAAAACTATCTACAGTGACAGAAAGCAGATCAGTGGTTATCTGGGAAGGAGGGAAAAGAGAGTTGGATGACAAAGAAGCTTAAAGGACACTTATGGGGATGACAAATATATTCATTAGATTGTGGCAATGGTTTCATAGCTATATAAATATGTCACAACTTAATCGGATTGTATGCCTTAAATAGGTACAGTTTACTGTATGTCCATTACACCTCAATAAAGCTATAAAGTGAAATAGAGTCCAATGAAACAGACCTTGTAACCACTCAGACTGCACTAAGATCCTCCCCAAATACACCAACATGAGCAATAAAACAAAGCCTGGCAACAGGTGAGACCCGGGGTACCTGATGGATTACAGCTGTGCCATATGGATTCCCCTTGGCCCTCAGGAAGCTGGGCAGGAAGGCAGGATCCCCAGGCCAGCTGGACCTGGCTGCAAGCAGCCCCCTTCACACACTCCAGAGTTGGTATCCTTTTCTTTAGAGGCCATGACACAAAGATGGCACTGAATGAACGGTTGTCGGGACAAGGCTAGCCTGGCCCAGCGGTTCTCAACCCTAGTTACCCGTTAAAAACACCGGGGGCACTTTTTAAAAGCGCTGATGCCTGGATACTCTTAAGAGATTCTAATTTAATTGGTCTGCGGTAGAGCAGTGGTATTTTTTAAAACCCCAGGAGATTCTGGTCTACAGCCGAAGCTGAGAACCACAGACTTCTGTGTGTGTATGGTTCAGATTAGGTTGGGGGAGGCGAGTGTGAAGTGGCCACTTCTGACCCTTAGCGCCAGCAGCCAAGAAGTTCACGATTTCATACAATTCCCAAAAATGATTCATTGTATTGTACGGCTTTACCCAGCAGGTAATCAACATGAAGCATGTTGTTCCTAAAAAAAGAAACCGGAAAACATCAAAAGGAAAAAGGTTCAGGTAGATACTTGGGCAGCAAGCTCTAGCAGGTCCCAAATGAGTTAGGACAAGGGTATCGCTTGACCTGGGGTGCCTGCCCAGGACCCTGGTGTCTCCGTCAGACCCAGGCTCAGAACCCTGGCCTGGAGGGCTGTGGCTAGCTTAGAGAATCTTAGCAAGTAGTTCCTCAAAGATTGAATCGCCCAAGTCCAGTCTCGGGGCATAGCAAGTGGTTCTCTGCCTGTGGAGTTTGTCCATCCTTCAACAACTTCTTATAGATTACTTTTTACCCCCAGAGGGTAAGAGGGAGTCTTACCATTTGAAATTCAAAGGAATTGGATGAGCAGATAGAGATACCCAGAACACAGCTCCTGGGACTTGGGAAACTGGTCCCAGGAAAAGGTCTTAGTACTTTAGACAGGAGACACCAGATAAATGCTCCAAGCTGGACCAAGCCTTTTATTCCAGGGAGTGTTAAGACTAGGGGCCTCGGGCGCCTGGGTGGCTCAGATGGGACATGCCCTGAACACCTGCTGTCCTGGGATGAGGCTGATGCTCATGAATCCTGGGGGGGGGGGAGCGGAGGAGGGGCGGGGTCTCTGTCCCCAAGGGCAGCTCAGCCCCTGAGCATCTCTGGGCTCCAGTCAGTGCCTGAGGCTAATTAATTAGTACATTGATTCTGGGACCCCAGGCTCAGTGCTGCTCCCCTGGAGCTCAAGGCCCATAGGGGATGTGACACACCATCCCTGCGCTCTGAGGGCTGGCCTGTCACCCACCTCCAAAAAGGATGGACCTCTGCTGAGTCTCCTGTCCCAACCCAGGGCCACAGGGCCTGTGACTTCAGGGACAGAGTCCCTCTTATCTTCACCTCTTCTCCACTCAGATGTGGGACCTCTGACAGAACCTTCTGGAACAACTGCTCTGTCCTGAACATGCTGAACACAAGGCACAGGGAGTAGAGCTGTGCCCACCCTGAGTCCGATGTGATCCTAAATCTTTCCTTGCTGGAGGCTCTGTCTGGGTTTGGTAATTCCATCTCTGGTATGGCTCTGAAGCTCATAGGAACAGCTTCTTCTTGGGTTTCACTGGGCACTGCATCAGGCTTTTTAACCTGCAGGACCAGACCCATGATACACAACTCGTGACTATAATAAGAACAAGTCAAATGACTTTAGGAACAAGTTTATAGACCCCTATTCAACTGAAAACAGAAGGCATTTCTTTTCCATTGTTTTCCCATCCATGCTTTTAACCCTAAATTCCATCCATTTTCTCTCTGCAATAAACAGAGATCTGACCGACAACAACAACAAAAAGACGCCTAGGTGGCTTAGTTGGTTCAGTTGTCAACTCCTGATTTGGGCTCAGATCATGATCTCCGGGTTGTGAGATGGAGCCCCATGGCAGGCTCTGCGCTGGGTGTGGAACCTACTTGAGATTCTCTCTCCCTCTCCCTCTGCCCCTCCCCAACTCCCCACTTGCATGTGTGCTTTCTCTCTCTTAAAAAAAAAAAAAGGATTTGCCTTCCTTCCGCCAGGCACCATTATGAAAAGGAAAACTGAAGCCATCGGAAATATTCTAACTTCCTGCCTCTCTTACACACGAATTTATCCACACTTGCATGCAGTCTCCCTTTCTTCCTTTCGGGCTCAGGGGAAGTGGGTTCCTGCCTCGTGCTGAGGTACAACCTTCTTGTGCTCTTGCCCCATTCACTGGATCTCCCCCAGGAGGATGCGCCATGAACTTCCCTTCCCTCTGCTGTACCCTCGCCTCTCCTTACCGGGGTCTCTCTCTTCAGCACATAAACATGTTAAGTCTGCTTCTAGCCTTAAAAAGAAAGAATGAAAAAAAAAAACAAAAAACAAAAAACAAAAACCCTACACCCTAAGCACTCTCTTGCCTTTTTGTCCTCTAGCCAGTACCTTCTGTCTTCCCTCCCAGCTAAGCTCTACAAGAGCACAAGACGCGTGAACTTACCCAATTCCCATTTACCCTTCAATTCACTGTAATCTGGCTTCTGTCCCCATCCTTCTACGAAAACTGCCCAGCAACAATGCGCCCAGGGCCATCCAGTTCCACAGGTCTTTTTTTTTTTTTTGATTTTTATTTATTTGCGAGAGAGAGAGAGAGAGAGAGAGAGCGCGAGCATGAGCAGGAAGAGAGGGGGCAGAGAGAAAAGCAGACTCCCCGCCGAGCAGGGAGACGAGGGGCTCAATCCCAGCACCCTGGGATCATGACCTGAGCTGAAGGCAGACACTTATGGGGCTGAGCCACCCAGGTGCCCCTCCACAGGCATTTCTATCTGCCCAGACATGGCTACTACATTTCGCTCTCCAGACCCTTTCCTTCTTCCCCTAAACCCTCTACCCCTTGGCTTCCATGACACTACCTTTTTCTTGTTCTCCCCCTCCTTCTTGGTCCTGCTCTTCCTTTGTCCACCCTTGAAATGTTGGTGTTGGCTCAGGACTCCATTCTCAGCCACTGTTTACACCCTCTGCTCGGGCAACCTTGCCTCTCATCTCCTATTTGTTCCACTTGTGTGTCAGAGCGTATCCAAAGGGGTATCTCGCCCCTCAAGTTGATATGCCCACCCATATCTCAAGCCCCAAATGTCCACAACTGAACTACCACCTTGTCCTTTCCCTTCCCACAACCTCTCCTCTCTCCTGGTTCCCCACCTCAGCAAAGGACACCAGCCAGTTGTCGCCCAAGCTAGAAACCCGACAGCCACTCCAGATTCGTCCGTCACCTGGCCCCCACAGCCAGTCACCAAAGTCTTCCTCACGAAGAGACTTTTCCTCCTGAGTATTCCCGAATCTAGTCGTTCCCACTATCCCAAGGGCTGCAGCCCTCATTGAGCCCTTATCTTCTCCCATTTGAACTATTATAATAGGCTCCTAACAGTTCTTCCTCCTAATCTGCCCCTCCTTAAGGCATTCTCCCCAGAACAGCCAGAGGGCTCTTTCTAAAAGGTAAACCTGACCATCCCACTCCCTGTTTCCACCCCTTCAAAAGCTCTCTATCTGCTTCCTTTACAAATCCTTTATCACCTGCCCTATCTTCCTCTCAGCCATTCATTGCCAGGTACTCAGTACCTCCCTGATTTTGTTCAACATCTTCCTTCCCCTGGGCATGCCCTTCCCAACTCA